TCAAGTAAACTCATTCAATTCAGACAGCACATTCATATTGAAATCTTTGTCTTGCTATGTTCATGAATAGTACGTTATTAAAACAAATGTAACTACCAACTGCTTCATCTTGTTTTCATTTCTTTTTCGGTTTCTTTCAAAGAGGACATGAATGTATGGAACAAAGAATTCATAGAGAATCCGACACCAAATATTACATAGTGTGGTGTAAATAAATTAGCCTACGTTTGATAGGGACTGCTGGAAGGTTGTTGTATATAGATATTATTGCTCGCATTCCACAAATTCAAAGATAGCTCATGGAAGTATATAGCGACTTACCAAGCTTTATGATCTTTTCTCAAACTTAATGCTTGCAAGCCGTGATTCTTACTCTGTTTTCTCAGTCTGTAGATGAAATTTCGTGCTTTGGATTACCTCAGTACACTATATGTTCGTCGAATCGCATCCTCGAAAATATTGAAGACCGGACTTGACGCATTTGTAAGTTAAAAAACATTAAAGAAGTCGCCGTGTAAATTTCGTATGACGTAATATACTTCGAGAAGCTCTGACCATGAAAGAGACTTGAGAGGCTAACTAGCTGAAGAAATAAAACAGTCAAGAGTCAAATGGACAACTTTCCATTTTGATGTTTTATCGAAATACGAAAACATAGAAGCTTCCAAATCGGACAATTTTAGCATTTACGTCCGGATGCTATATACTTCGAGATGAAGAATAACGTTCACTTAGAAGAGGAATCATATTCTTGATCTTGCTGAAAACGGACTACACTTTCTGGTAGAGAAGACGTGATCTTTTGCATGATGTAAAATATGAAGCACAACCATCAGACTTTTAGATGTGTCGTTCGAGACCTTCTATTTTCATGGACCTTCTTCTTCTGATTTCAAGACTTTCACGCAGAAAGACCATATGACAGTCGTTATCTGCATGGAAGCTTTTATCTTCCAACAAAGGATAGAACGACTAGTATCAAACTGTTCAACCTTACCTTTTGACTTATTAAGATGTAGAATCTTCGGTCAGAGTGACCACGAGTTTGACTGAAGTTTCAGTCATCAATAACAGAGCATAACTGGCAAAACAAGTGTGACACGTATAACATTCTAACCCGTTACGTGCTTCACGAACCACAACACTAACACAAGTTGTGTTTTAGAGGAAATACCTTGCAGTAATATTGCAAATTGTTTTCTGTTACGTGGACGAAACAAGTGCATCCAATAGATAGAAACCATGTGTATGATATTTTGGTAGAAGGTTCATACTTCTTCTTATTATTATTCGATGGAGTCAATCACAATGAAATGAGACAGGACTTTTTGCTTACGATGCATGACTTGAAACTCCTTATGATACCCGATTGGACAAAGTCCGGTCGGGTAAAGTCCTGAGGACAAATAATAGTCCATATTATCCATGTTTCTTTTGGAGTAATCAGTATTATAGACCATTTTAGTCAAAGTAACCCAAAAGATTAGAACAAACTTCAACTAAATACAATTCTGTCATTATAAAACTGACAAAAAATTACATATTATTGATTTTGACTTCTCTAAAACATCCTCGTCCATGTTATACTCTATAATGCTATGTGTATATCGAGCTATGCATAAAACATCATATAGGTGAGCTTTTGTGTCAAGAATTTGATATACTAGTAAGAAATTTTGTCTTTGAGTATTTTTGAAAGCATGTCACAATTTATGTGATAGTCAATTTAGTATTAGATTATATCTGAGTGCAGGTCAGATATAACAGTTAAATCCGATTGTGCAGTTAGCACCATTGCCCTTGATGTGACGTTAGAGGCGTTGTAAGGAGGTCAAAGGCTCGGGAAGAGAGTTCAAATTAGGGCTCCAAAAGATTCAGTTTTCAAAGATACATCTTGGAGAGTAGCTGATGAAGGAGCCTGCAGACTTTGAAGCACAAAGTGACTTTTGCTCGACTATAATATGATATTTTAAGTGAAATTGATGACCGTAATGTCCTGGCGGATTTATTGAGAGTTGCAAAGCTTGTGGTACGCTTGTGTTGATGTGTGAAAAACTGTCTATTGTGATGCGATATTTATGTGCATTACAAGCACCAGCATAAAGAGTTCAAATTTCAAATTTTAAAAAATATAAATTTTAAAGATTTGTATTTGATTCAATCTTCGGAATAAAAACTAATTTTTCTAAAGTTGAATCCATTACAAACACCTGATTGTAGATTGATTGATTGTAAGAGAGGAAGAAGCACATGAAGGCAGAAGAATCTATTATGCAGAAAACTCACGAGTGCATTTGAGAAACTTTCATTTGTAAAACATTTGACTTGGATAGTTTGGGTTTATAATGTGATTTTAAATAATTTTTCCATTGCTATGCTATTGGAGACCAACCCCTAGATAAAGCTTTTGCTTTCTTGTAAAGCTTGATATGATGATTTTATGTTTTCTCTGCTATCCACTATCTAACTACCCTGTCCCTATGCTTCACATGTTCTAAAGAGAATGAAATGAAAAGAAACAAGTATTTGTAAGATCTGGAAACAAGTTAGAATAGAGAGACCGACGACTTGCCCACAGCGGTCTAACTTGTCTTCGCGACCTGTGGGAACCCAATTCTATGGTGCTGCGGCCTTGGCAAGATCTGAAACAACAATATGGCCTTACTAAGGAGGAGAAGCCCAACATAGAACAATACCAGGCGAGTACACCATAGACTTGGCAACCACTCATTGACAATGCATTGACTCTGGCCAAGGATGATTGGCTCGGCCTCTTCTATGACTCGCTGCAGATCGATCCAGCGGTGGTCTTTCTTGCGACGGAGGACTTCCGACCGTAACTAATGCATGAGGCAGGAGACATCATCATCCCGGAAGGAATTACCCGGTACAGCATTGACAAATAATCCAGATGCTTCATCTCATATCATGCAGGTGATGAAACAACAACAACGGTGCGGGAGAAACTTATCCTGATCCGAGTTCTATCGGTACCCAAGGTCCAGCGCACATCATCAAAGCTCCGACTGTACTACCTGGCTTTACTTGTGTGTCTTTCATTTGATCCAGGATGTTGAAACTAGGACAACGGAGACTCCCTATTTGACTACAGTGCAAAACTTGGGCGGAAAATGCTACATCCTCGATTGACACTTGATCGTACAGTGCACTAGAAGTGGCATGGGCAGATTCCAGCAACCTTTCAGCCGGATTGGTGTGAAGTGTGGAGCAGTAGAAGGCCTAGCAAAGAAGCCGCTTTTATGTGGAACATATATCATAAGGCGGTAGCGGTTAATCACTGGCGCCATCGGATATTTCCAACATTGTGCTCGGAATGTCCCTGTTGTAATTGTGGAGTGGCTGAAACATTGGAGCATTGTTTTTACAGATGCGAAATGGTGGTACAAGCATGGGCGTTTGCGGTCACGGTGCTTCATGTGATTGCAAAAACTCTACGTGCATTGATGCCATGAGACTTGCTTTCGTGGAGTCAATGCATATCCGGGACTGCACTTCCACAAGAGCTTGTGGCATTTCAACCGACATGGTCAATCATATGAGGCGCAGTCCTCTGGTTGATATGGATTCAGAGGAATCAACTCTTGTTCCATGGTAACAGTTGGCCCCGGAAGGTGATGGAGAGGAACCTTTGGGACGCAATTATTGACTTAGCTCGCACGGCATGGCACCAAGTCGAATGGAGTCAGAAACATCAACCAGAAGAAGTTCCTAACGCCACTCGCAGCTTTACAACGTTGTGGGTCCATGATTCCATTTTCTTGTATAGGGGACCGCAAGGAATTCGATGGAATTACGAGCGGCCTCATGTAGGTAACTTCATCATCAGGTAGTGGTATGCTAGGTTTTTCAGGTTAAAAAAACAACTAAACTATGGTGCCAGCTATCCAAGGGTAGCTTGGTTTGTGCTAAGGTGTCTGTTTTTGTGTCTCTGGCTATGGAATAAAGTCACCATTTGCTTAAAAAAAAAGAGAAAGAGGTTAGTACTTCAAAACAAACATACCATATATTTCTGCTTGATCAAACGTGAGATGTTTGCGGTACCAGATTGATTCTTCGAAGCCAGGCAATGAAGATTTCTAGAGACTAGGGAAAAATTGTTTTCCTGCCCACTCTATCAGCAGCTTCGCCATCTTGTGAGCAGATCGGCGATCACGGAACGTTTGGGCATGTTAACGAGAGTCGGTATAAAACATTATTTCCGCACAGCGAACACCATTCTCCTGTCTGGCCACGTGCACGAGCATATTCGTCGCAGAATCCGTGGGCAGAAGGAGGGCCGTCCGATCGTCTCGCGACCCATCGTTTCGGTTCTGACTTCCTGTCAGCTCGATCTCGTTGTAGAGCCCCGGTGGGCATACCGTTGGCACCGCACAACGGAGTGGACTCGGAGAAATTCGGGCGAGCGCCACGTGACGAGGTGGAGTCATGGGCCTCGCAGCGAACGAACGAGCGAGGGCTCTCTTCGCTCCGTCCACTGCCTCTTCCAGAACCCAATCAACACAGAGCCGAAGGCAAGGCAATCAAAATCCCATTTCCGGGATTTTGATTTATTCTTTGGCTTACTGCTATTTATGAGAAAAGGGGAAGGCGATAAACGCCAATCGAAGGCCTCTAAATCTAATAAGCCCGGTCACGACTCGTCCCCACAAGCTGAAGAACTCAGAATAGCAGCAGCAGCTCGGGAAGTTCAGCGCACTGCCCCGGGCACGTAGGCGCCACGCTGGCGCCAAGTCGGACTGGGGGAGCCTGATGCTGGACAGACTGGGAGGCAAAACGCGAGAACTCCGGTGTAAAGCCAACCGGAGTGGAAAGCCGACGGGTCCCGAGTTGCAGATCCGACGGGCGCGCGAGGGGCCACGTCGCCGGCGGGGTTGGGCCGGGGCGAGCGTAAAGGCTCGCGGGGAGTCCGGTGAAGCGGGGGCCGGGGAAGTCGAGCATATAGAGCTGGACGCGACGCGGTTCAAACCCTCATTCATTCGTCGGGAGTTGCAGGGCCTGCAGTCTCGATCGACCGAGCTTGCATCGATTTCGAACACTCCCTGCGGAGCTCGACGAAAGGATTGTTCGAGGTCGATTGCGAGCAGGAGTGACAGGATGGAGCTCTCCGTGGAGAAGACGTCCGCAGGGCGGGAGTACAAGGTGAAGGATATGTCGCAGGCCGATTTCGGTCGCATGGAGCTCGACCTGGCCGAGGTCGAGATGCCCGGCTTGATGGCGTGCAGAACCGAGTTCGGCCCGTCGCAGCCATTGAAGGGCACGAGGATCACCGGGTCCCTGCACATGACCATCCAGACCGCCGTTTTGATCGAGACCTTGACGGCTTTGGGTGCCGAGGTCAGATGGTGCTCCTGCAATATCTTCTCCACTCAGGACCACGCTGCCGCCGCCATTGCCCGTGACAGCGCTGCCGTCTTCGCCTGGAAGGGCGAGACTCTGGCCGAGTACTGGTGGTGTACCGAGAGGGCTCTGGACTGGGGTCCCGACGGAGGCCCTGACCTGATTGTCGACGATGGTGGTGACGCCACTTTGTTGATCCACGAGGGTGTCAAGGCCGAGATCGAGTTCGAGAAGGACGGTACTCTCCCCGATCCCACCTCGACCACCAACCAGGAGTTTCAGATTGTGCTGAGCATTCTCCGCGACGGGCTCAAGGAGGACCCCAAGAAGTACCACAGGATGAAGGAAAGACTCGTGGGAGTCTCTGAGGAAACCACCACCGGAGTGAAGAGGCTTTACCAAATGCAGGAGACCGGAACCCTTTTGTTCCCTGCCATCAACGTCAACGACTCTGTCACCAAGAGCAAGGTATGTTCTCTCGAGCCCGATCTTCACAATGTTCTGAAGAAGCTTCCGTCTGCATTGCTCTCTCGCGGGAAGCTCCTGCGGGAGCTGTCTTAGCTCTAGGACTTCGCATTTGTATCTAGCTCACGCTTCCGTGAATGCATTTGACACCTTGTTTGTGATATTGTGCAGTTTGACAACCTGTACGGATGCAGACACTCCCTGCCCGACGGTTTGATGAGAGCCACTGATATTATGATTGCTGGAAAGTCTGCTGTCATCTTCGGATACGGAGATGTCGGAAAGGGATGTGCCTCAGCAATGAAGGCCGCCGGTGCCAGAGTGACTGTCACCGAGATCGATCCCATCTGTGCTCTCCAGGCCTGTATGGAGGGATTCTCAGTCCTTCCTTTGGAGGACGTTGTTGCCGATGCTGATATCTTCGTCACCACCACCGGAAACAAGGACATTATCATGGTTTCTGACATGATTAAGATGAAGAACAACGCCATTGTATGCAACATCGGTCATTTTGACAACGAGATCGACATGCTCGGTCTTGAGACCTACCCAGGTGTAAAGAAGATCACCATTAAGCCCCAAACCGATCGGTGGGTATTCCCCGAGACAAAGAAGGGAATCATTGTTCTCGCCGAGGGAAGGTTGATGAATCTTGGATGCGCTACCGGTCACCCAAGTTTCGTCATGTCCTGCTCTTTCACCAACCAGGTGAGCACAAATCCTTCTCGAACGGAAATTCCTAGCCTAGCAATTCTTGATATATGCCGAGCTGCACTCACTAGCCATTTCCGGTATCTTTGGTCTCTGTGATTGTGTGATCTCTTTTTTTTGCATCTCTTGAGTTGCGCAAGATCTAATCGTAGTGGACATTTTCTTTTTCCAGGTTATTGCCCAACTCGAGTTGTGGAACGAGAGGAATTCAGGCAAGTATGAGAAGAAGGTATACGTGCTGCCCAAGCATTTGGACGAGAAGGTTGCCGCCCTACATCTGGAGAAGCTCGGAGCTAAGCTCACCAAGTTGACTGCCGATCAAGCTGCGTACATCAGCGTGCCAGTCGAGGGTCCATACAAGCCAGCTCACTACCGTTATTGAGCTCGAAATTTTGCAGTCTGTGTAGTTGCCCCAGTCAATCACATTAGTCAATTGAATAGATGACACCAATGGAAGTATTTAATTATCGCTCCAATGAGTACTTTGAATTCTATTTGAGATAGGGGTTGTACCAATCATGAGTACATTGTTGGCCATTGCCCAGAGTTGTACGGCCTGATGGGCCTTTCCATCCTTCTTTTTTTATTCACTTCTCACTGACAATTGCAATGAGAAAAATTGGTTCAGCAAATACCTTACTGGTTCTGTTCTCGTAGTTGGGAATGTTTGGTTGCTTCTCATCAATTTGGAATTAGCGAAAAGTCTCTTTTGGCAGGTTTAGCCAAAAGTAACTTTTGTGGCCTGGACCGGTATACGGATTAGAAAGTTTTGGCTCAACTGTCATCACTGCTCGTGAGATAGAAAAAGCATGATATCGTGGGTGGAAGATGTCGATAGTCGTAAACAGCCTGGAACTATTCCTGCCATGGGTTAATTTGCCAACGTTAATGTTCAGGAAACGCCGAGCACAGCGGAAATTTACATTCCTACACAACATTCTCAATGCAACGTACGAACGTAAAAGGTTTTTCATTACAATCGTGCTCAGCATTTCATGTGAAAGAAAAAATGCTAACATCTGCTGGGTTACCTTACAAATCTATGGCAACATCACACCATAAATTAATAATACCGACGAAAAGATTGTAAACAAATATAATGCTCGTAAAAATCCTCAGAACTGCGACAATTGCCCAATGAAAAGACCCCACCAATTACCTCCCACTTTTAAATCAAATAAAACGTGTGAGAGTGAAAATGAGGCGATTATATGCTCATTTCGATCACATTGCCGCATAATGACTACAGACTATGGTGAAGCTTCTTTCCCTCTGACGTCATCACCTCTCAATTCGCTGTAAAACTGGGCAAAGTTATCAATTCATCTTCAGTGGTATATTCTGCCCCACCAACAATTCCAGGATGTCGTCACAGTCACGTGTCGAAAGCGACAACGAGGTTGCCATTTATATGGTGATGTTGCCATACAGTGCATGCATAGAGTCACGGTTTGCATTTTGGAAGAAGGGACGGAATCAGTTCGTGTCTGCAATTCCCGTAATCTGAGATTCGGGATGTGCTTGAAGGAGGTACACAATATTTGCTTCCTCTTGCCCTGAAATGTAGTATACAAGAGTGTAATTTGGCCTAATACTCAGGAAAGAGCCTCAGAAACAACCATCCCAATCTAGCTACTTGTGCATTTCATTTACAGGCAATGCTAGCCTCCACATTAGGGTACGGATTTGACAGTTCAGCATAAATTGGTGTGATACTGTACTAGGTTTAATGGGATCTGAATCGGCGAAAGAGTGCAAAAGGAGCTCGAGGAGAAAAAGTTGTCCTGCGGGAGCGAATAGTCCGAAACTTGTTCTTTGTATGAAAAGCCTGAAACTCTTAGAAGTGCGTGAACACTTTCGTGGTCATAGAGCTCTGGCCTGCAGATACTAAGATCCAATTAAAAGATCTCTCGCATCGTTCTGACATACATTGGCTCGTCACCACTGAAGGCCCTTAGAGGCCCTATTTCCGCGGGCCTTCCCTAGCAGTCCGCGGAAAAAGGGAATCAGAAGACCCGAAACGAGCATCCCAACCACAGCAATTACGAGAACTAACCATGTGGCAATGTGATCGAAGGATTGGGAGATAATTGCTGATTAAAACTGGATCACCTCCTCAATAATTGTTGTATAATTTGTATAAGTTGCTGATGGTGTTCGCATCCACGTGCATGAACTGCAAACGAATCGCCAGCTGATGCCCTTAGAATCTCAGAAGTCACTACGTCCTTCGTGTGTTTTGCGCGTTAACTCCGTACGCATTTCATAGATCTCACGCTGCATAAATCGGCGATAATCTACCATTTGCTTGAATCGGATAATCGACCCTGTTAATAATGTAGAAGCCCTTGCAAGGAGAATGTACAGAATCTACGTAAGGTTCGCATTCTAAACTCGTTCACGAACCCTAATGCGAGAAGTCTTCTATTGCGACGGCACAAGCGTAGATGGAACAATGTGCAGAAAATGATTCCTAGTAATAACCAATTGAATGAGAAGTGAAGAGATAGTAAGTCTCCTCGATATAAGAAAATCCAACACGACCAATCGTGAGAGATCATACAGGAGCCATGTCGCGACGAAGCCGAGAGGTCAAAGTGTAGTTAGAGTCTACGACACAAACCTAAGCAACGCTTCTCACAGAGGTCGGCCATGAAATAGGGGGATTGGTAGCGGAGCCGTGATGCTCGCAGGCCAACGTCGTCCACGGTACAGAAACGAAATCCCGATCTGAAAGACACAACACCGGTGCAGCACCGCAGCCGGCAACACCGAAAAGCGTCACGATCCAACGCGTTAGCCGTGCCGGAAATATAGAAATCAAGGCAAAAATGCGATGGAGTAGGAAATCCCAATTTAGAGCAACAACGAATAAGATCACATCATTGGAGAGCATTGAACGCAGTCTCGCAAATTTTCACGAAGACCCAATCAATCAAACCAACTCCAACCCTAAAGCGTTCAAAAACACCACAGCTCGGAAATGGAATAAATCGTAGACTTGCAGAGCAGATACTAAAGATTTAAGGTAGACCTAACTCAAAACACATAACCCGAGTGCTAAAGTGGGCACCGAGATTTCTAGGGCGCAGATCACTTCCTCTTCAAGAGATGTACATATTTAGATACTGCGACTATCGGTGAACAGGATTCGCATGATCGGTCGACTATGCCCTCATGTTACGATGGAGACAAATTTTACAGTGGGACCAAATTCTCGCAATGATTTCACCTTCCTCGCGAGACGGAACGTGTCCACATGGAGCCAGAGCTAACATGATCCCATCCTTCGATACCGTCTGCATGAACTCCACAATGGAACAATACCATCCTCGGTGATCCAGCCGGAGATTGTCGGACACATTCTTCGCTCGGATCAATGTCAAGGAGTGCAATGATGCTTAATACGAGGGCAGTCAAGATTTTAACCTACATCATATCTTAGAACGTGATGTAGAACAAAAATTACGAAAATCAGATTTACTGATATTGTATGCCAAAAACCAAGTTAAATTTAAGGAGTCAGTCATTTAATACTGTCAAAGCCTGTCTTATTAGATCAGAGGGGGGTTCGCTTTAATTTTATTGGTTTAGCCTAGTAATTTACTGTTCTAAATATTTTAGTAGTTAATTTTTTAGATAGAATTGTTTCGTTGGATGATTATGTTGTATGTAAACCATATGATCCAGTTAGTTTGGACATGGTGTTGGGACATAGCCGACGTGTTTAGTTTCATAAGGGTATTCCCCTCGGGTGGTGTATGCAAGAAGACACGCTGCACCTTTGGTGAGTTCATGTGTCAGAACCCACTATTTGGCTTTACTCCTAAGAAGTTGGCTCTGCGCAGGGTCGACGTTTTATGAACAGTATCATGTATGTGGAATATTGTAACCTGGAGTTTCTCATGTGTAAACCATGAGTCAAAAAGTTGGCTCCACTGGAGAATTTATTTCACAACATTTGGTGGGCTAAGTAAAGATTTCAGGTGCAAACCTGTTATCTGTGATGTGGTAGTACTGCCTTTTGTAGAGGGCTGCGCAAATTTCAAGTGTGAGTGAAAAGTATGATCATTTTGCTATTCAAATTGTAATTAATTGCGCTAGTCCATGAAAGCATAACATTACTACCTTATAGGAAAGTAATCGGGACTTCCTAAGACTAAGGATGTTCATAAAGTGCCAACATCAAGCCTTTTAGCGAGGTTTTTTCACTTACAAAACCTAATCTATTTCATTGATTCTGATAATATTGGGGATGCGTTTTTTGCTTCTAGAGAGACACCAAAAAAAATATAAGATAAGAAGTTGTTAATATACATTTAAAAAATTTTTCGCTAAGATGGGAGGAAAGAGAATAAAAATAATTGATCTTAAAATCAAATGATTAACAAGATATACATATAATTTCTATGTAGGTAAAAGATTATAGAAATAAATAGTTCAATCTAAAGATTTTGACTTTTAAAAGAGTAACAACATGTAGAATACAAGATAATACATCTTGAGAATTGTTCAGACTTGGTGAAACATGTGTTTTTGACTTTAAGTAATCACTAATGAAGATTCTTATATAATAATGGAAGTTTAACTAACAAAATGATCTTTGTTGGTAAATTCTCGCAAAGACTGTCACAATCATTCACATAGTATTTTACAGGAATGTTTACAGTTTTTAAGGCAATGAAACTTTGCTCACTGTCTCAAGTATGCAATAATCACTAGAAGCCATGTTTTCAATACCTTGAACCGATGGTCATCAATAGTGCGTCATCAACCCAACACTATCATAAAAAATCCATCATCAACAATTGTTACACTTAACAATCTTCCCCTTAACACATGTTGGAAGCACATCAACCTACTTAAACTATATAATTACTTTGCAAGATGTCATAGAGGAAATACAACAAAGTACTTTTTTAAAACTAAAGCTAACTATAACTAAGCCGTAACCAAAACATGGTAGAGTAAAAATATATAAAGCTTAAAAAAATTGCTAGTGAATTCTACTTTAGCTACTCATGCAAATTTTGCATAGTAGCACAAAATTTATCAAAATTCTCCAAACGAATCAAACCATCAATTGGATTGAATTTAACGTCAATCTTAACTAGCTTAATACTCTAATTATGAACAACATGTACGATCAAATGATTCATGATGTTGATATTTTTCATTTTCTTCTTTTTTGTTTGATTTGCAGCAAGATGTAAAGCATTTTGGATATCATAGTCAAGATTGAACCATTATCAAATACGTGATGCATATAATGAAATACGTGATGTTGCTCAGAACTTTGTCATGATAAACAAATGTCATCTTTTTCTTTTCAATGACATTGGTTGGATATTGACATGCGGAAAGTTTGAAATGTGTTGACAAATGAATCCATACTCTTTACAATCTATCATGTTAAACTTTTCAAACACACATTGAATGTATTTGTCTTGATTCAACCACAATTTCTTTTTCACCAATTCCATATGAATATTTCTCCCTACTATATTTAATCTTAGGCTTTTTCATTGATTGTTGCATTTTTTAGCATGGTATTGATTCTTTGACAAGATGATAATGTCATTCACATAGACTATTAAAATAATTAAATTGAAGATTTTATCATTCACAAGAATCATACACACTCCGCGAACAACCTTGTGCTTTCATGAACTAATCAAATTGTGCATTCAACTAACTATGATCTTGATTCAATCTAAATAACAATTTCATCAATCTACAAATCAGCTTTTCTTGAATTTATTTTTCAAAGTCAACTAGTTGTTACATGTAAAAATACTCCTCTAGAGATTTATATAAAAATAATGTAACTATGTTGATCTAATCCATCACAAAACCAAATATTGCAGCAAGTGCACAGATCAAACCAATTCTTAGCATATTTTGATACTGGTCAAAAAAGTTTGTTGTAGTTCACACTTTTTTCTTGCATGAAACTTCTAAACATCACCCTGAATTTGAAAAAATTATTCTCATCATAAGCTAAATTGTCTTTCAGATTGTACATCCATTTGCAATCAATTAAACTTAATTCATTGATAATTCCACTAAACCTCAAATCTCATTATCTATTCACAACTACATCTCAATCTTCATATCAACATTGCACTGAAGCTTGAAGATTGACAGAGGCTTGAACTTCTTCATAAGAAGAAGATTATACTTCTTCTAAGATCAATACAATGATATTATCATCCTTTGTAATATCAGGATTTTAAAAAATAGATGAGTTTATCCATAATCCATAATTTGCAAGAGATCTACTAATTTGATGTCATAGCTAAAGATTTTGGTTGATTTTTATTGTCTGGTGCAAATACTTGAGGTTTGTCAAAGATTACATGCTCCTCTAATTTTTACTATTGCTTCATTTGTGTTAGAGCTTGTCAGTGTGTCACTAATGATTTATATTCTGCAACATATAAATCATGATGAGATGGCAAATAATTCACTTCTCTGAGTTGTAACTTAAAAAAGTTTTAAAATTATACTTCTCGTCATTATCCATGCGTAAATATCTCATCTTGTGTCTAATCTGAGTATCAACTGGAACTTTTGAAATGTGTTTCAAAAGTTCAAAACAACTTTCAAAAGTACAACAAATGTGATAAGATTAAGCACAATCTAAAATCCACTGCTCACCAACAACCTTTGAGTTGCATAGGGCATACCTCTCGCATCATAATCCATTTTTTTAGCTAGTCATTCTCATGAAGATCAAAATTCAAAGCCACATTGGCTAAAGGAGAATCAACACCTTTGATCTTCACGCGGCTGTGATTCTTGACATGACATTTCTTGTCACATCATTAACACATCAACTTTTTCTTTCTAGTGATTTATCACTAGACTTTGATCTACACTTAGATCCAAAACTTATACCATCTTTATCATTCCGTGGATAATATCGACATCATCATCAGATGAAAGAGCACGTACAGCCTTGTTGCAAGTTATTGTCTGTCAATCATGATGAAATAAGACATGTAATAGTGATGGGTAAGATGCATGATATCAATTCAGAAGATGAAGAGCTTTTCTTTCAACAGTCATGTCTTCTTCAAGAATCTATAGATTCATTACAAGATCATCTAACATGAATGTGATCTTGGATTTTTATGCCACAACTTTCATTTTGAGTCTCATCAACTTCAAAGACTCATATAATCCAGTTGATAATTTTTTGCAATAAAAATGTTGCTCAAGAGTTTCAAAATAAAAGATTACACTTGTTATATTCATCTACTTGCTTCAAAAACAAAGATTGGAAATGAAGTATGACTATACTCACTTAATGTTGATGGATATCTTTCCAATTGTCGTCATTGTATGTGGGTGGTTTTGGCCTTTATCTTCGCTTGTCTCTACTATAGCAGATAGTCATCACCTTCGTCCTATTTGACTTTGTTATACCCTCCTCTCCCAAACTTAGTGGTTGCAATCTCTGTACAACGAATACTTCAAGTTGTAAATTTTTTGACTACAAATAAAAACAATTCACTTCAGAGGTAAGATTCAATGCACAAATTGTTCATGATAGTAATGAACTTGTGTCAAATAGAGAGATGCAGGGTAACTCATAAGCACTCAGAAGCAATGGCAGGATAGAGGATAGGAGTAACTCACAACACTCAGAGCAATGGCCATTTTGGTATAATTTTCTGATGTTTCAGTTGAAATATATACATCTTTCACAATCGGATAGTAGAATGGTTTCAATGGTCCTTCAAATATTATTCTTTGGATTTTTGGGCATGATGTCGAGGCTGAGGTACGAGGAACGAAGATTCCAGGATATGGGTGGTGTGTCATCGCAAGCAGTATTCTACTAATGGAACTTGTAACTGTATAGTGCAACAAGTGAGTTCATGATTTTGCCATGATTGTGGACTCATCGACGTTAGTCAATCTCATGACTCTGTTCATAATTGTTGAGGTTTTCTACGCTCGTCCCGACGAGTAAAAGTGACGATGTAAAAGTTCGTTTTGAATCATTCCATTGACTTCGTGCAAAACAATTGCGTGAAGCGAGATACGGCCAACCACGATCTGATCAACCACAGGATATATTGTCGTCAAGCTCCGTGAGGAAATGGAAATGAAACACCTTACCAAGGGAGGACTGTGACGTAGTGTGTCCCCCCACAGGGCTAGAATTGCACACGCACAGCACATCTTCTTGATGTCGAGTCGACCACAAACAATTAGAGTAAAGAATCACTGGTAACCCTTTTATTGAACACGGCATAAGGGATTTACTCCCATACGCCTTGGCTATTCGACTGCTACATGCTTATTACATGCTTGCATAACTGGGATTCCAAGTGGCATACAATTTCTTTTGAGATCATTAGGTCCAGGCAAGAAGCCCCGATGGCCTTGAATAGCTAAACCTGACCCGACAAATATACTCCGTCTTATGTTCGAACATGGTTTTGGCAGATTGATTCAGTGAATTGTGGGCGGACACAATCCCCCTCCATCCCATGCCGAGACAGACCCAGAAGCAGAAGAAGCACAGGGCTTTGGAACACTGGTTGCCCTATTGCCAGAAGACCAACAGATAAGAGCATGATGGGCCAAACTTGTGTCCTGCACAAAGAAATGAAAGCTCTCCCATAAACGTTTTTAAAAAGCCACTTTAATAACTGCTGCAGCGAAGCATTGGTCGGTAAGAGTTTCGGGCCTGCCTGCGGTGGTTCGGAAGAGTCGTAAAGGTAGAGCCAACCGCGCACTCCGATGTTAATAGAGCATGAAGCAACCTTGTGCATCGGCGAGAAACTTCCTCCCTTATCAGAGACTCGCTATGGAACAAAATCTTTCCTTCGTCCAGGTTCGAAATACGTCCGCTCCAACCCATACTGTGCCTGTATCTCCCTGATCTCTACCTTTCCTTCTTTGCTATTTGTATTGACGGAAGAAAGTAACTTCAGCAGCATCATAGAGGTCAGGACGACAGAGGAAGCAGGAAACACACGGCTTCACAAAACTCATCTTCAGAGAAATCGTAACGTCGGGCTCCACGACATCCATCTGGTTCTTTCAGAGGAAATATGTCCACAGAAAAAATCATCTAGGTCGCTCTAATTGACGGATTGAGCTTAAGTAAAAAAGCTGGGCATTATGGACAAATTTTGAGCTACGTGAGGATCAAAGCAGCTCAATAGGACCCTAGAGCATCGACCTGTCTCATAAACAACGTCTCTATTCACTCCGGATTCCCTCAAAAATCACCTTCCTGAAGCATTCAGAAGAATGTGATGACTTGATGCTTGCTCTTTAGAGTGCGACACTACAGAGAATGTAGAAGAAAACCCGAGTGCATAAAAAAGGAGGAAATTGCATCTTGCGCAATGTCAGAATGTTCTAAAATCCAATGAGCGTCTGAGACGGAGATAATTTACTCGCAGTGATCTACAACAACTTCCATTGAAAGAAAAAATATTTCTCAGAATCATAACCCCAAGTCTTGTCAATCTCATAAAGCCTAAGTTCTATGACTGATGGAGAATGAACTTTCTGCACTGTCTACAAAATATCTAATCCACGAAGCAGCCGGTCAGCCTGAAAAAGGATTTGATGACTTTCACTGGTGATCTATCACTGCTGCATGTGAAAATAGAATTTGGCTACGGTAACTGTTATAATCATGAAGAAATTTATTAATATAAATAATGTGCCTAGATTCTGAACTCTACCTAGGGTCTTCTAAACGGAAGGCATATCTAAAACTAAAGTTCCTAAACAAATCCAATTTTTCGAGCAGGTAGACTTAAATTCTGAAAATCTTCTACGCGAAATAAGAAGCAGATGATGTAAGGTCAGAGAGAACCTGCGTTGAACAAATTGATACGGGCATCAGAAGTAGTGCACAGGACGGGACTTTTCAATGCTTAAAAACTGACCTCATCTATAAAGAACAGAATTAGAGTATGAAGAGCGAACAAACCTCTAATTGGTCTTCACTGAAGGCCTCCTTTTGAATGTCCCAAGTATCCATGTGTGTACGTCTGAAGTCAGCTATAGTCCTTGTTACAGTGGCCTTGATGGGCCATGGCTCGTGACTAAACCCAGCGAGAGCTATCACCATGTTTGGCAACCATCTGTTTCGACACAAACAGTTATTCTCTCAGTGGTCAATTAGACACAGCACGCTTACACGCTAATATAGTACACAAAAATTCCTCTGAACAAGACGAGTCGAGCCAAACATTGAGCACAGATACATAGACACAACACATATGGTAGTGTTTGAGGTGTATCCAAACTCTTAAAACTTTTCTTCTAAGAAGGTTTACCTAGGCATGTCGTAAGGGACAGATAATATGCAAGCAGCAAGGCCAAGCACGAGTCCATGAGTGGTGGCTAAAGCGCAATTCGTTCTCGTCTTGGTCTTCCTGTGAATCAAGTACACTGATGTTAGCTCAACGTTATAAAATTAGCTTCACGTATTCGATGTAGTTGTATTTGTGGTTCAAATACACTAACCTGCTCGCATTCGTCATTCACGGATTACAACTCATTCGCATACAGTTAGTGATGCTCGATTGAATGCCCATGTGTGTAGAGGCAAGATGATGTACTTGAGGACTGTGCTAAAAAAAAGGCATGGATGATTGCAGAAGACTTCTTTCTGTCGATCCGATAATGAAACACAGGCTAGCAGGTTATGGTTGATTGTTTGTTTCCACGTCATTTTACTTTACCTAGTGAGAAGACTCAAATTGGCAGAACATTGAAAAGGTAAAGAATTCCTGTTTTCGACCTGTTTTTTGTTCTTTGGCCGAGTTGCACCAAGGCTTTTTCAAGTATGGTGTTTCTAAATTCTTCGGCAAACCTGATTCCAGGTCCTTTCATCATACCGGTCAATGTCGTTGCCGCCAATATCCTCACCTGTGAGTTAGATCATCGACTTCAGCGACCCGCTTTGCTGGATTGACCTTAGCTTAGCAAAAGAAGAAAAAAACCATACAGGAGAACATGATTTACATATTTGAAGTACCTCCAGCTGATTATCTGATAGCAGCTCCCTTATACGGTCCCACAAAGCTCTCATGTCGCTATCCGACATGATGTACGTGTGCCTGAACGTGAATCCGTGAAGAGTAGAACAGAAACTCCCAAAATTAGTTCAGTTGTAGTCTCCAACAAACTGTAAAACATGAAACAGGAATAGAAACCACAGATATTTACCTGTATACCACCGGCTGCATAAACTTCAAAGCAGCTACTCTCGTGTGCCATATACTATCTGTCGAAGCAGCTAGAGCAGTGGCAATTGTTGTTCCTAAGTGTACACTTCCGAACGGCTGCCATCGTAGAAGATGCATAGCTGACTTTGCCAACTTTGCCAGCTCTTTATTCCACGTTTCCTGTATAGAAACATAATCGGCAAACATATCTTACGGTTTGGTACACGAAATATCCAATTACAACGATGTGGAAATCTAATTGCTTCCGGAATTTCCTGTCTCCATTGAGGGTAGCAGGGTCAATAGAAGGCAGAGATGGCAAACCTGCACAGAAAGAATCGGGTGTAGCAGCTCCCTTGTGACGCTCAAAAGCACATGGCCACTGCCTGATCTGACACTCGCGATAACGAAGTGCAAAGCCTGTCAAAGAAAGTCCACAGCATCAGAACGTGACGTGCATATTTTCTGCGCAAGAGAACTAGCAGATGGACTGTTTCGCTGGTTTTGCCTGTCCGAGCTTGAAGAAAAGTTTCCCCTCGCCTGAATAAGTGAAACAAAACTGTAAAAACCATCATAACACAAACCCGGTTAAAAATGAACCACTAAAGTACTTCGTAGAGATGAGTAATCATTAGAATAAAATCCAAAGTGACCAAATGACCTCACCGTTTCCATCCACCGAACCGCCTCTTTGCTTTCTTTACTGTATACTCCTTCGAAAGTAGAAGCATCGCCGCTAAGATCCGGCCCACCTGCACTTTGAATTTTTTCAGCAGCCGACAGTGCACCACTCACTAGTGCTGCCCTCCAGTCCAATGGCATTTTGCAGTCTCCATTCGCATCGGTTACTTCCGGAGACATGGGCGAATCAGTAGGCGATAGAGGAGCATCTTTCTCGGTTGAAGATAGTGAGCCTGATTCAGCTGCTAGTTGTAGGTTGGCACAAATGATAGACATTAACCGACCCACCCCTTGACGAACCTACAGTTACCACATGTGCCCACATGTATATTAGAACGGAACCAAGTTCATTTCCCTCTCCGTTCCAGTCTGTGATGCAAACGATACAGAGCGACACCCAGCAAATGAGTTTTATCAAGATGGCCCCAACTTTGTGCTGCATGCAAATACTGACACATTGAGGGACCCTTTCCATTGACCGTGTAGTTACCTGAGGTGCACTGTGCGACATGTATGTCATGATTTCATCTAAAAGACTAATTTGAAATTTGACATCGCAGTCTAGCCTTGACATGGGCAGTAATTCACTGACGGCTGCACGAAGAAGAGTGAGGCGTTTCGTAAGCAAGCTAGTTGAAGCCCGATCTGGCAGTGGCTCTGCTAGACAGTCAAGGATCTTATATCGAAGCTTGGGAACTTCCCGCCCATCTCTGCCCTCCCCACCCACCGCAAAACGTACACAGGCTGCCCACTCAGCCGCTGATTCCAATGTGGATTGCAACACGACTTTGTGAAGCAAAGGCTTCATCCAATCATCCCATGCTTCTACAATGCCTTCGACATCTGAATGTAGGAGACCAGCCATAATCTCAGCAGCTATACACTGTTTTCCCCTTTCCTCCACGTCATTGCAAGCGTCCTCCAAGGGAACTCGCAGGGCATCAAGAACAGGTGACCCACATTCTTGTAGCAGATATTGAAATAGTCTCGCAAAAGTTGGTAAGAAGGCCTCCCCTTCTAGCTTAGAATCCCATGTCAGTGTTCGAGGCCAATCACGCATAAAGGTGGGCATCAATGCAGTTAATCCCACATCCGACATCTGCTGAGGATTATAGGAGTTTTGACCTTCAAAGTAGTGATGGTCGGCAGCCAAATTGGTAATGACTTTCTGCCCAAAACCTTGCCGTTGCAAAATGGATATGATTGCGCTTTTTAATGATACAGCATATTCTGTGCCGTTTCCATTCTTCAGCCAAGACGGTTTTTCGCCGTAGAAAGCTTTCGATGACGTTGCTTGGAGGAGGAAAAGAAGTGCAATCACGGACAACGGTCTGAGCGCTGGCAGTTCACTCTGAAGGTTCGCCATGAACCCACCTACGCAGCCGAATAGTCACAGGTCAATGCCAATGAAATGCCAACCAATATTCTTCTCATTCTGATATAAATAAACTCGCCAATAGGAATGAACACGTTTCCTCGTGTAGGACAGTAGCAGCGTAAGTAAAAACATCCCTTTACTAGAAAACAATCAACCGCGAAATTTTTTACCTGCAATGTTCTCTCTTGACTTTAAAACGCTTCCCGCATAAAAAGAATGTTCATCCGATGGAGGGGGCAGTACCAAAAAGAGAAGTATTCCATGGGCCATCAAGTTGTACCTGTGGATATATTCATTGCTCAACTTCAGTGCTCAATGTAGGGAAACTGCTGGCTTACGACTTCGACTCTATAATGCTTGCTTGCTTACTTACTTTCTACGCATACTTCACTGGTCAAGGCGACTTGGAACCTTACCGCCAATGAACAGGAACTGTTCCTCCACCACTAGGAACAACTTGGTCTTGAATATGCGTAATCATCTTACTGTATGACAAGTCTTGTAAACTTTCTCCTACTTTTGCATAGGAGCTGAAGGGAACTCCCCCATACAGAATGTTGAAGACGAGAAAAAGCTGAAACAAAAAACATACAGAATGTCAGTTTGAGCTCACGAAAATATAAGCCCACACTTACAAAAGTCAAACCGAAATATGTGAAAAAGTTGAAAACAAAATTGACAAACGTGCACACAGCCATGTATCAGAATGGTAGACGCCACATGCGCAAATATAAAAATATCCTCACAACTGCATGGCGATTGAATGCAGGTTTGAAACAGTATTGCGCTGTTACAGATGCAACAAGATTCCACAACTATACCATTTTCTACTTTCAGAATACAACTGCACAAAGTCCTCCACTACACAGAGCATATTAAAGATGAAAACAAAGATGTAAGGACAAGAACCTCATTAATGGCGTTTTGAGCTTTGACTGATTCGTGATGAGAGCTGGTGAGTTAACAAGATCCAGGAGATCATCAGTCACGATATGACAATCAACCAGTGCATATTGCTCTAGACATAATATGTTCAGTGGAATGTCTTAACATCCCAAAGCAGAAAAAAGTGATCTTGCATCGAACATTATTAAAGAAGCAAGGAACCTCACCTACGAAGGAGCGCCAATAAGAAAGAAGCCAGAGCATTCCAATCCTGAAGTGAAAAGTCCTCAAGAAGTCAGAATTATATAAATTACTGCCTAAATAAGGTATTTACTGTTTGACAGCTTCTTCTCAAATGTAGCCAATAACGGGTGGGAAAATTCTCAAAGTCAGCTTTCAGTCCACAACAATGGTTGATATCTGAAAATTCTAAAGTGTGTTTATTGCTGATTACTTGATGAAAATACTAGTTCTTTAGGGCTTAGCGGCCAGCAGGCACCTTTAGCCAAGCTTTTGGATTTGAGACTCAGGCTCACACTTGAGAGTCAAATCTGTACAAAACCCATATATGAGAGCACTCAGGTACCGTTAACCAGTGATACTTTCCTCCGGTAGTGACCAAACGAAACTATTACTCAGAAGTGGGATGGTAACAGAAATCTTGCTGAATCCGAGAGCTCTGACTTCGCAGTTGTTGCTAGTCTTGCTAAAGCTCTGCTTCACAGTGTGTGTCAAAACGCATTTGACACACACTGTTTTGATTATACAGTTACAAGTACCAGGTCTGTAAATGTCTAACTGTTATGAGGCATCCGAGACTGTACCTTGGTACGAAGCTTAAAGCATTGCAACACTCAATACAAAACAGGGACCAACCTGCCTAAGATGTCTCATGACTGGTTGAGACTTGAGAACGTTACAAGCGCCCAAGGCAGTTTCCTCTTTAGCTTGCACATCTTGCAGGCTTGTTGTCAACAACGGCATACATTCTTTGACTAATGAGGGATAGCGCTTTAGCATCCTCCCGAGCTTGTTTACGGCAACTCTGCAATTGATCCAATCGAAATTCGAGGACATCAACCCAGTCAGCAGCTTCATGACTTGCCTAAAGTAAACAGAGCATTCCAAGTCCATGCAATTTTTTCTCTCAAAAGAATTACTTGGAATGTTTAGTGCAATGGAACTCGAATTACAAACGAATATGTCTTTGGCCGTCATCTCTACATTTAACATTCCAAGGTGCAGAATAAACATTTGTTTCGATTATGAATACTACGTGGAACAGAGCAATTGAAACATGAATAAGTAAGAACTTGAAATCACTGTACTCGGTGCATGCTGATGTAAGTTAAAAGTTTCTTACAACCGGACAGCACGGTAGCTGTGCAATGAGAGTTTGAGAAGGTCTTTGGATAAAAGAATCAAATGATATGGTGCATTTAACCCTCTGTAGTAACGATGATATCCTGCTTGTGAAGCTCGCAAGAAATTGTGAAGATTGGTCTTTTCAACAAGCATCCACCATGGTCTGTGAAATCAAAGATGCGAACGATTCATGATTGCTTTAGATCAAAATTAAAAAGCCTCACTACACGACCTACCCTATCAGCAAGAGACACTAAGCCTAGTCGAAGGACTATAAAGAAAGCCACGAAGAAAATCTAGTCTCAATAAGTGACGAATCTATTATATGCTGTATATTTTTTATCACAAAGTGTGGCTGATTCAAGCATAAGCATGTCACCTTCTCCTGCTGGTCGCGTCTGCACCTGTGATGAGGTTGATTTTGGGTTCCCTGAGAGTCTTATCCTCAGCGTTCCATAAGGAACAGCTTTGGAGCCAAGATTGGTAAGTCATTGATCCTGCAGATAAGGAAAGGTTAACCTCATGTAGCACTTGCCGACTCCAAAGTCATAATGCCAAAAGCAAATGACGGCGGATGATTGGATTGAGAACTCTATGCGAGCCTTACCATAATTGCCCGTAACGTCCAACAACCCAACAAGCAACTTCAGTAGAATCGTATCATCGGCTCTCTCCTTTAGCATGTACCTGTACACCAACAATCACCATCCTCAGTCGATCCGAAGTTTAGCCTAAGTTAGCCCGAGAACTACGAGCCATTATAACGGTGGGAAATGTGAAGCTAGGTACTTCAATCAGGCGAGAGAAAAAGAACTCAAAAGGTAGGACTTTTACTCGCAGGTTTTGTGCAGTGTTTCCGCAATCTCTTCTCTTAACTTGGAAGAACCAACAACCGTGCCTTCCGCTCCAACAACACTCAAGGACTTCAAGTCAATCCCCTTGCTAAGAGAATGGTCGATTGTGTCTGGGGGAATCTCAAAATCGGGGAGGCAGGAACCGACTCCGTTCAGACATCCTCCAAGGCGCAGAGCGATTACCCGTAATTGCTCCCGCTCCTGCCCTGAAATAGTCAATAAAATACAAATAAGCTTCACTAATCTCATGAAGAAATGAGTTTTTTTGGCACATAAGAGCCTGACAAAGCCGAATAACTATCAACAGAAACCAACAGAAACGCTTGATAGATCAATTACCAGACGGCTTGGATCGGACAGCATCATTGACAATCGATCTCAGATCAGCTAGGGAATCCCTCAGGTGCAGGTTCAATATCTCCTCCACGAATGCCACCTCGTCAGCGTTTGTAATGTGCCATGTAGGACCGCTTCCCTCTTCTGGAGCATCGCTTCCGCTCGTACTATACCATTCCTCGATGTCAAAACGAGATTTTGTGCTGGGATTTGATCTGCGTGAAGAGGCATCAGTCCAAACTTAGAAACTTGCAAAACAATTCCCAAAGATTAGATATCCAAAGGGATGCTAATCTGTTTCTTACTGTCATTTATGTAAATGTTGTGATTTAAACTCAGAGTCAGACCACATCTGTAGCCCACTTATAGTACAATTTCATTCACTGAAAGCTACTTGTAAAATGCAACTGGATTGAAGATTACATCTAGTAATCTACCTTTAGGTTTACATTTGTGGCTAAGGAGTCCGAAGCCTCTACGGTTAGGGTTTCAAATTTATGCGTGCAGGCTAAAAGCTGAACCTGAAACCTGTTTATACTGCTGTTCAGTCGGCAAAGCAATCAAGTCAGAGAGAAAATCTTGCCAGTGATCATTCCCCCGACTGACCACACCGATCACACCTGTGAGCTGTTGGATCACTGAGATCTGGGGGTGGTAAAAGCAATCTAGATGAATTCAAGTTGAAGCTTGGTTCATGGTGGTGAGTGGTTCATTGAGAGTTCTGACCTCAGGAGCATTGCTCAAGATCTACCTGAGGATTAGATGGAGTGGGGCAAGTGCAAGACCGTGCACAGGACCTGCAGATCTAGAAGTGATCCATATGGATCACATTCACACTCATTTCAGAAAACATTCAAAAAAAGCTTCTTGCATTGGGTGTATGTATGAAACCTTTCAAACGTGTAACTTGGGCAAATATGACACACCTGCAGAAATGTTCTGGATAGTAGTGAAGCAAGCTTGCTAGAATGGAGCTCACTAGAAGATTTCCTGCTTCATTCACCTGAGCGAGAAGCATGACAATAAAGCAGTTAGAAACTGTATATAGCTTCCACAGGTGACAATGTAATCACTATTTGGCAAGTGGCACTGCTGTCCGGAGAGCTATACTACCATGATGAAGCGACCTAAAAGATTGAAACAAGAAGTTCAATACACAGTAACTGAAACTGCATACAATAAAGCAACGATACCAGTGAGTTCATATAAAACGAAAATGAGAAAAAATAAAGAATAAAGAAATAAAGAAATGAGAGCAAATGAGAAGTTCTCCGAATTGATCTAGGTAAGTATGGAAGCTTAAGTCTTTACCTTTGAGCTAGGTGCATCAAACGAAGCTCCTATCACTTGCAATAGAAGATGCTTATACTGCGTTAATGCTGCTCCTCCGTACAAGAGAGACATTGATAGAACATTTAACTGATAGCATAAGGTTATCTCAAGCGCTGGAGAAAGCCCCGCCTGGACCAACAACGTCCGTGCCCGGCGTCCCGCACCCAGTAATTTAGTATCAATGATAGTATCAACTAGACAAGTGGATCAGCATCATGTAAATTAACAATTATTAACAAGCTCCTGAGTATAGGTTTGAAAGCTTACCTTGAAATTCTCATAAGATTTCTTATTACTGCTTGCACTGAAGCCAGTACACGGGGTTTCGGTAAGGGAAGAAACGATGGAATTCATGAGTGGTTTAGAAAGCAGCGGAAGGGCCAGAGAACGGTTTCCGATCAATGCACAAGAGCAGAGGGCTCCGATCTCGTCAACAGCTCCAGGGAGAATGTTGCTGTTAACAAATTTAGCCACCTTTTTGAGGGCCTGTTATACAAAGTAACTGTTAGCTCCTCAAACTACAACGAGTGATGCTTCAACATGACATCCAATCAGCGTTTATTCACTTTCTGATGTGTACAAAATATCAAAAATATCAGGTTGTATACCACAGCAGAAGTCTGTATCTTTCTCAATCCTACAGTAAAAGATGGAACACTGAATTAAGCAGAAAAATTCTGTTTCATATCAGTCGTACAGTTGGGTACGGGAATAAAGTGTCAACCTCGTTATAGACAGAAGTCGTTACTTTCTGGAATAATAGCATCAGAAGAGATGAGTAATGTGATCCTTCTTCCATCAGAAATCCAAGGTCGGGCTCCACCTCACTAACATTCCAACAATACACACTAAGATTACACAATGAAATGAAGCACCATTCAAGAAGTCGTGTCAACTTCAGAGAGAGAATCTTCTTCAATCGGGTCTAAGAGCAGATATACTTACGCAGATTGAGAGATTGGTTCCAGATTGACGAGGAGCGTGAAGAGACGTTCAAGGAAATTACCTACCCACTCCGACCAGTCAATAGGGAGGGTTCCACCTGGTCCGGAGTCATTGCTTCCCAAGACAGTAATCTGCAGAGGAAGTGAAGGGATGAAGACTTGAGAGATATTCATTATTGCTATGTTCTCAAATCAGTCGCGTATCCAAATGCAAATCCAAGCAGCTTAGACGTTCATACGCGCTGACTTTAACACGAGGAATTGATGGGTTTCCTAACGTCGGAACTTACACTCGAAACAACTGAGCAGTACAGTTGTAGGGTTGCCAAGGTCTTTGGTGGGTCATTGGCGTCGAGTCCCAACAGCGTTGTAAACATTGCGACAGCCAAGGTACTCCGACATTCTTTCAGGGAAACGTCAAGGCCGGACATGACCTTATCAACTGCGGTGTCTATCTCAGCAGAAAATACCATCGATGAACTTTCTTCGGCAGATGCAATTAACAGGGCTCGCGCCGCGAGAGCAAGAGTTGTCAATGAAGATTCTAACTGATGCGTCGCAGTTATCTGTGAAAGAAGTGAGCAAGATATCAGAAACAAGCACATATCCACTTCAGAGGGGTGGAATTTTGAAGAAATAGTGCCACATGCTTTTAACAAAGCCCCTAACCATCTCATGGATAAAAAAACTTGAGGAATATACTTACAGTGTCCATGGCCATTTGGAAGCAAGACACAATAAGTGGGAGAACTACGTATGGTTCCAAGTAAGTCAGTCGAGCTGCCACGTTGGCAGCACAGGCTGCAAGAGACACATTCTTGCTATATTGCCCCCTTTCTACTAAGCGCATGACCACTTTCACGAAAGCCACTCTTTCTTCAGGCCCCAGAAAATGTGAGCATTCCACTGCATCCTCATCCCTGACTCTGAGTCTGCACACCACTGCATCTAATTGAGTAAGAAGGAGAATGAAGATTGAGAACAAAAACACCTACAAAACCACGAAATAACTGTGAAAAATGCACGCCCCGGAAAACGGAAGAAAACCAACGCGACGTGGTAAGGTGTAGGCCCAGTTTATGGGAGACACGTACAGATGTTCACTAGCTAAGCGCTTCATGAAGTAAAACACCAGATTCCGCAAGAAGCTTTCAAGGGAGGTAGTCCACGACCCTCCATTCGACGGATGATAATACCTGGATGAGAAACGACACTTTAATATTGATCCTGGTGTAATGGTACTGCCGAAAGGATAAAGAAAAATAAGTATATTTTTCGGGTAAAATCAGGAAACCGACAAGAAGGCAGCTACAGAGTATAGGCCACTTACTGCTCCAAGTAATCTACTAGGCATTCCAAATGCCTAAGAGTAGACCCGCCAGGGATGATCATATACACCTGTAACATTGCAAAACCCTTCATACTTTGATAGATCTGTTGTAGAGAAGAATCAACAGTAGCAACCGACTAGCGAAAAACCGAGTAGTTCGGGATCACATGAGAGAACCAAACCATAAATAATCATTTCGTAGACTGAAATCGGTTAACTTACAATAGACCTGGCAACAATATCCGGACTGGAAGGCATCGAGAGGGTATAGAATGCAGCTGCCACTTCACGAGGCAATCTTCGATAGATTGGAGCCCACTGACTAGACTTCCCCACAGGTACCTATAAGAAGGAGAATACGTTCACATACATTGAAAGTATTAACGCTCAAAACTTAGAATACTCGGATGCCCCTCTGGAACTTAAGTCCCCACCACTACACAGACAAACTAAAATTTCAATACTCAAGTTCGCTGCTTAAGGTACAAGTGGTTCGCAAGAGGAGAGCGGTTCAATAACCTACCTCAAATGTTCTCAAAAAGAGCATAAACATTGAAGGCAAGAACAGCTCCCACTCTGACGTCTTTATTACTTGATGCTTGATGCAGCGACTCAGTAATGAACCCCATTGCATGTTCCAATAGTTGGAATAAGGCAACTTCTCCCAAAAATCGATACACTCTTTCACCCACTCACTGCAAGCATATCTCAATATTTAGGGAAGTAAAATTAAAGTCATAGTGCCGGAAATTTGAAGCCGTGATTGTTTCTAACTCAAGAAATCGGTATAAAAAGCAATGAAAGTACTTGAAACTGTACCTGTTGAATAGACTTGGTTTCCTCTCTAGCTTATGCTGAGCAGTAGGGAGGAAAAGAGAAAGAAAACCCGCGGCTTCGAGGGCTGAATTGTGTGACATATGCTCCAGTGCTGGTCTGCAAAAAAAGCAAAGGATAATCCAATACATTACGTTTAAAACCACAGTTCAGGCTTCGTACTCCTGCTCATTGTGGCAGTCGAGTATTAGCAGTAACAGCCATCCAAACTGCCGGAAACAACTAACACTGACATTCATGAATCGGAATTGAGTAGCCACCCTTTCGATTCAAAAACCGAGGTGCACTTGAAAGTGATTCAAAGTAGACCACTAAAATTGACAATTTGAGACAAAACGCTCGCACCTGAATTCATTCCAAATTTCTGCTGAAGATCCTGGGGGAAAGAATCTTCGACAACTTCGAATCAGGTGAGTTATAGTGGTCAAATGATTTCTTTTCAGAACCCAACCCTCGTATGAATGCCGCCTGCAAAAGCAAAACAAACGGCGTCAGCAAATTCTGTAAGTCCAAAACAGCAATTTAAATAAAACGAATGGAAATGCAATCACCAAACTATTTTCCTAGCACAAATTAGCAGGAACTGTCGCCAAATAAATGAACTATACCATAAAGAAGTTCTTCAATACAGAACATAAAAAGGCCAAAGAGAAAAAGAGAAACGAAGATGTAGGTGCCGTTGCAACAGAGCGGAGTACCTTTCAAAATGTACGTTGAGGAGTAACTCATACAGTGGACGCCACTCAATATTCAATGTAAGCTTATGACGGAATTTTCTCAATATCCTCGTCAAGCAACTGCCCCAACGGTACTGTAAAGTAATCGACGGTTGATTACAATCTGATCCGTCACCAATACAGGAACATGCGTAGAATGTGTCTTTTTATCACCAATACAAGTTCAACGCTATAGAATACTCGAAGGATTGACTGATTGACATTGATGGACTTCATTGACAGTTGAAACGAATTTTTTTAGAAGAAGATCTCAATATCATCTGAGAACAATGAATACAAGAAAAAATGATATACGACAAAGTTTTACCTGAACGTAGAGACTGTCAGATGAGCACAGTATCAACTTGAGAACCACTGACGTTAGGTCTTCCAGATCCTCAATGGCAATGTCGCTCTTAACCTTCAAGTATCTAAAGGCCATACCACAGTACAGTTCAGAACAGGTTTTACGAGACCGACCCACGATTGCCAAATCGAGCACTTTCAAACGTTGGAATGATCGACAGATATAGACAGACGTTCCTTGACTTCACACAATTTGTAAGAAGAGGACCCTGCATCCACCAGATAATTTTAGGTACAGCAAAAAGCCTTGAAAACTTGAAATTAGTTACGAGCCTTTCTCGGCGACTAAGGCCTTCTTCATGACAACATGTATAGGGGTGAAGATGATTGATCATGATAAGCACAACTCCAATGAAGACTTTCAAAGGGAAGAAATCTGACAAGCTCCAATATTGAGCAGATCTAAAATGTGTTCTGTTTCGGACAAGGCATTGTACGAACCCAACACAGTTCTTAGAGGTTACATTCCAGAACGTGAAAAAGGCTGGTAACAAAAGTAGAACCTGCATAGACCACGAGGTTAGCAAACGCAGTATGCAGAAAAGCAAGCAGAAGCACGTATAACGAACAGTCCGAGTAACATGCATGAAACAATGTTGTGATGTAAGTACACAAGAAAAGTAATGTGAAGAGTGGAGTATAGTAAACATAAATTCCACGTTTCAATCACTGAGAATTGTAACAATGTAATACATGTAGGAAGACAAGTGCGTTGCGGACTAGTATGTGTCTAGATGGTTACGGAGATCCAGGAACAATCAACAACCGTGTACAGGTGAGCATCAAGACAACACCACTCCCCTATAACTTCATCGGTAGCAATGAACTATTTTCCTTTCAACGTTTACTGCAGTAAACTCTCCCGTCCCGTTACTTGCGAACAAAAAATCCCGTTGGCTAGCACGAGAATGAAACAAGAGAAACAATAGAGAACGAAGCAGTTGACTAAGAAAAACATACTTTCAACGGCAAATAGAAGACAAAACTGGCGCAGCTATCAGAAGTATGTGCATATGAAGACTGCTGATGAATGGACACATATCTGCTATGTGTATTCTTTTGATCTAATGGGTCTGTTTCGTTCTCCTGTCACTTGCGCTACTTAGTCATGTACATCGCAACGTCTTTACTCAATAGCAGTTGTAAGTGGTGATTTGGGCCTCATGTGAATGCCTTTCATAAAGTGGATTATCTCAAAAAATCATAGATTTGGGAGCTTTCCGTGCATATAAGGCTAAAAGCACTCTACCTCCTATTTGATTGTTACTTCCATGTTCTTATAGAGATCTTCATTGTCCTTCTCCTCGAACAACAAGTCCCTATCAAAATTTGGGACCCAGCTGGAAGTTCATTCTTAAGGAGAAGTAGCGGAATAAGCCATGTCAGGAGTATAATGGCATCAGGAGTAGAATGGCACCAGATTTACCCGCGAGAGGCTCCAGGAAGTGTTCAAATCGGATGAACTTATAAAGAGCCAACGATCTGGACAGGTCCTGTAACAGGGATGATGCGACATCAGTTACCAGAATCGTTTGACTTCCCTCCTTTTATGTTCTTGACAATTCTTCAAATTATGTATGAGCATGAAACTAGATCAAGATGCAAGCAAAATCCATTCTAAACCACTCAGCTTGGCCAACTGATATCCTTGATAGTAATCGACAAAACTTGCGTACTATCCTTCTGTGAGAGTATAGCCTATGCTAAACGTTAAGGACAAATGTACTTCAACTGATTGCCCACTTTAATTTGAGCCGGGAAGGAAGAGGATCGCATGTTCAGATTGAGCAAAACATGGTCTGCTATCCTCATTATGGCCTGCGTTCCAACCGACCACCTAAAACCTGGAGGTGAATCCGTATGGAAAGAGTGTGTTCCAACCTAACCTGACTTGATGATGACTTTTTTGTGTGGTGTTCCTCAAAACCAGCTGGAAGTTGGAAACTATAAACGATCATGGATCTCCCAAAGTATGTGTACGCAACTCCACTACTTAAAATGACAACTCTTGTTCTGTTTCTGTTGTAATCGCCAGACCATGTCCTCCTTCTTCTGTATGACAATCTACCTCAACAAACACAAACGTTCTCTACATAAAAGAGAAAGGCTACATGAAAGAGAAATAATACATTATCCTATAATGCTTCGAAAGTCTGAGTCATTTCTCTGCAGACTCAGTCGAGGTTTCCAAATGTACAATTAAGAAATTCAAGTCCGAAGTTGAAGTAAGTTCTCTTTGGTTATGAACTGCTCCGCCTTTACAACTGAAGTTAACCACATTAACAAAAATCGAATATTCCGTGAAAGGGCAGTTAGAGCGAAAGAAGCAAAAGAGGCAATGGACGTGAAACACATGCGATTACCCACTTCCAATCAACAAAACAGAGAAGAGAAACATTGTACAACTAATTCTGATTTCTACGGGATGACTTTCACCAGATTAGCAGGTCTATCAGGGATTCCTGAACAAACTTCTGAATCCTAGAGTTGCAATCACTCGGAAAAATGATTTATGAAAATTCAAACATGTCAGAGTAAATGGAGGACTGTACTCACGTACAGTCCTCCATTACTGGTAACCCTGTATCCTGCTTAAGAGTTGTTGTCATATTGTTGATACTCCAAAAAAATAAACAATGAATGAAATTTTTCGTTGCCAAATAGTATTAGGTGCAAATTTCCATGAGAAGACCGGTTCTACTTGAGCTCTAAGAGCCAGTCATCTTCCAACCTGTAACATGAGCAACATGAGAGTCATCCAGTTTATGCAAATATGCCACATAGTTTAAACTGATAAAATCAGGAGGAACGTACATTCGACCCTCAGAAACCCGTTCACTTTAAGATTCAAGGAATTCACTGCAGCAATGCTTATCACGGACGATGACGATAAGGAGAATGCATCGAATGTGGTGTCACAACCACCAACACCAGAGGGGTTGTCTTGGGAAACCACGTGACGTTCCTTCTGCAAATTATTACCAGCTTTCATCAAAACTAAAACTTTCCACCAGAGTACAGGTTGAAGGGATGGAACTGACGTGTTGATAAGTGAGCACCACTGGACTGTGTCCAGCCGTTTGAGGTGATCATCGGGTTGCCATTCCTCCTTGACTCTCTGAACTATTTGTGAAAATCGACGCCGTTCAACCGAAACCAGCTCGGCCACTGGGGGTGGCAGCCATTTGTTATGAAGGTTCATTTTTCTATTCCGACCTTCCTTCATATTGCCCCCGTCCTTCATTTTGTCACCCTCACCTATTGACATCAATCTTCTCGGTTGCTCTGAGATCCAGTGCACATGATATCCAGGCAACCCTCACTACCAATTTGATCCGACTTTATTTGAGTGAAGCCCAGGCAGCTCTGAGCACGGCTTGCAACGACGGCATCAACATCGGTGCCCGTCGTCAACACTGTCGAAGCCGAGCATCGACCGACCGACCGACCGGACGATTGATGTCGAGTCGCTGACAGCCAGCCAGCCAGACGGCGTGACTGAGCTTGAGCTGGAGCTTGTGCCTGCCTTGGCCTCGGCCTGCGTCGCTGAAACCAGCGACAACTTCTTTCCCCTCCCGTCCTACGTCTCTTCTCCCACAGCTACCACAACCAACAACCTCCGCTGGCCTTACGGACGAGGCATTTAAATGCAGGCAGGCAATCATAACATGTTTTCTTCTTCTTCTTCTTCGTCTTCCTCACCGGAATCTGGGAGACCGTGCGCGAGGGGGGAGGGTGGGGACGAGAGCGCACAGGTATTGTTTTGACTCCAGAGTCCGTCGTTTGACACAGGCGAGCAGAACAGAATGTGGTAGTGAGCCCCAGCCAGGCACGGCAGAAGACCGGAGAGTAAAAACAAGCTTCCGTTGTTGTTTGTTTCCGCCAATAGATGATGGATGCTGATGGTGGTGATGGATGGTGCCCCCGACGAAGCAGAAGAACGGCGCCAGGAAGGAAGGAAGGAAGGAGGGAGGGAGGGTGAGGGAGTGTGGAGTGAATGAGGCCCAGTCCACAGGAACGCTTCGGGTCCAGTCTTCTCTCTCCCTCTCCTCTGTGTCTGTCTGTCTGTCTGTCAGTCAGTCAGTCAGTCCGACGCCGGAGTGCGCGAAGTGATCCGATCGGATTGCCATCCGAAAATGCTCGAGTTTATGTAGTGGTGGGTGGCTCTGGTAGGGTGCCGAGGAAAGCCCGGGAAGCAACCAGAGCGCATCCGAGAGTGAAGAGCGCGAGCGAGAGTAAACTCGGCGATGGAGGGAGTGAGAGGCGCAGTGGTGGTACAGATAATTGTGCAGGTGGACTCAGTAACACCATGTAATGCCCATCGACCATTTGGGTAGGGTTCAGAGGGGCCTATTTACACACGATCTCATGCCAGTCGGAGTTGTTGGCGCTTCTTCTTTCTATACTTTTATAATTCTCTCGCTCTACCTCCCTAGCTCCCTCCCTTGCTGTGGAATTTCGGCGTCCCTGTCCCGCTGGTCATCGAAAAAGGCCTCCATTTCGTACTATTGGGGCACATTTTTCGCCGCTGCAACTCCATTTCCGACAACAATCGCCTACCTCATCCACGATTTGGTTTGCAGCATCTTCGACCGGTCTGACGTCTCACTACGTTCCGAGAACTTCCTCCCGGTCGTCAACCTCCTGATCTTCAGTGGGAGGTGTAACCAAGGGTTGGTTAGTGCGCAAGATTTGGTACCGATTTTGGGAGCAACTTCGTTATGCGGTGGCCTCAAAGTCAAGCACCTCAAATATCGCGGACATTAAAATAGAAACCCGTTCTCTGCTGCTAGAGATAAAACGTGGAGCCGGACTGTAGTCTCTTTTCGTGTGCCTAGGCTTTGTGGGCGGCTCGAATTTCGTAAGCTCGCTCCATTCGCTTTGCTTCCCAATCGGTGCACCGATTTCACGTTATTATTTGAAATATCGGCCGCGTGCCCAGCATATACCGAGCATGATGCAAACCACGCGCTCTTCTCGTCGACTGATCGCATGCCTCACGCTTCTTGAGCTTGAAGGCTGCGCTTGGTACACAAAGTCGTGAGTAAAAGTACAGTATACTGAACGGCAAGCACATACAGTATTAAACTGTCGGCTGGAGCATTCGCCGGAAGTTCTGAAAAGACCATCGTTTGAACTAGCGGACGTTTTTCTTTCATATTTGACTTCTTCTTTTTTGGGTGGGGATGGTTAATCATCGATCATCTCACCTTGGTTATCATTATATATAAATCTTTAATGTAGGGAGCATCTCATTTTTTTTACAGGATATATTTTTCTTAAAAATATTCACTCTTTTCAACCGTTAGTAATGTGTATTCATGACAACGTTTCCTTTAGTAGATTGTCTGCGTGACACGAAAGGAAAGGATGGGTTGTATGAAATTAAATTATCATATGGGAGATGACATAGAAATTCGCCATCATTGCATGTTCGTGTTTTTCTTGTAAAGAGCACAAGCGTTCTTTTCTTCTTATGAGTTAGTGAGGTCCAATACAAAGCTATGATGAGAATAGATCTTGTATCATAGATCTTTCCATATCAGTAAAGTACCAGATGGCATGAGCACGTACGATTTTAATATTTTTCTGGTCGGTAAATCGTATAACCCGAGCTATCACCCACCATGTAATATTCCTGTCATTGGTTTGATCGGTATTTGATATGCGAAGGAAAAAAAATGTATTGACAGTTTTTTTAAAACTCACAGTGATCACGGCGGAGTTCTTTAGAATTCACTCCAACTCACTCGAAGTACGAGAAAATTTGGCTCTTAAATTATGATCTAGACGAAAAAAAAGTGACCACGCGACATGCGTCTCTGCAGGTAAGATGCGAATGACGTCGGCTCCGATTGAGTTTCAGAGGTGCAGAGTTTCATGTGTCAGACCGGTTGAAAAAACTGTCATAAATTTGAAATCAACTAAGCCTCTATTTATCCCACAAACGTTAAGGGTCAACAAGGGAGTGTTCCCTTTGTCAACCTGTTTGTTGTCTTCAATGTAGTCGCATCAAAAGAACATTTGACTTTCGGATCTTGGACTTTTGGAATATATACCCATGCTAGATATGTCATTCTCGGTGTGTGCGTGAATTCTGTCCGTTACAGAGATTGTCCAAGGACAGTCAGTTAATTGGTTGAGTCTCTACTTCTGCAACACGGTTCGGCATCGCGGATTACAACCTCCTTGTCGAGGTGTGGGGGTCACTCTGCATATGCGTGTCTACGTCGATGCGGCACATGACCTTGTGATGCAAGCTCGCTCGTTAAGACCGCATTTTGAAGGGCTCCCCGCGGGATCTGCTAGTGGCACTTATCCATCCATCAACAACTTAGTAATGTTCCATCACAGGAAAAACTCGAAGTCTTCAAACTAGTGGATGTAACTTTTTGTCTAGGCATCGATCGATGATTGGTGCAGTGATGAATTTGAAACATTAACAAACAAAAGCACGAATGTACGTCGTCGTTCAAGTGAAGACATTATGATACACTGGAAGACATCGTAATCCTTGTTCTTGACGTTTCACCATATTTATGTTTTTCCAATTGGTGGGCCTAAGTCGCCTTTCAGTTGTTTGGTTTCACAAATGAAAAATTTGATGGACAATCTGAGTACGAAAAGATAGTAGGAACTGTGAGTAGGTAACGAAATCCCCACCACAAGAAATCACGGTCTAAAATACAGCTGCTTTCAGTTGACAAAATGGTCACCACCTCCTCGTTTAAAAACTAATAGTTGGACATGTTGATTCCATCCACTGTTTCAACGGTTGAAACCCATGGTGGCTTGTCATTCAAGAAGCTCTGCATGACAAAGCTTTTCTTCTCTAGGGTGACCCCTATCGTACCTAAATCCGATCTGCCTACCAGATGTACGTTTGTTCAAAAATTTCGAACCACAAATATATCCACTTCTCTAATCTGTGTTCAAATTGTTTTTTCTCTTCTTCCAGTCGTACATTCTGGTTACGTCGTCGTGGAGAATTTGTTCACCAATGATAACTTGCAGGCTCCGTAACTGGAGCAGTTCCAAGATGTGGACATTTACCGTGCTATGAAACACTTCTATGCTGGATAGATTGTCTACACCCTGGAACACAGTGGGACGCTAAAATATACGAGGAAATAAAATCTGCAAAATAAACATTGTACTCCAAGAATGGGCAAGGTACCCACGTACTTGCTCGCATGAATGCATGGGAAGAACGTTACCGAAGCGGAAAACTGTAAGTACATGCTGAACAAGAATGGATGGATGGATGAACTTCAGTAAAGGAATGATGAGGAGACGAGACATGTAACGCTCGAGCTCTCGCCAGCCCGAGCATCAGTCTTGCATCCCAGGCCTCGGTCGCGGTCGAAATCGGGTCCTGAAGCTTCGAAGAAGACGACTGCTCGCGAAGTCGCGCAGCACGGAAGAAAGAAAGGGCCTGGCGGCCAAGACAAATGGACGAGGGCGAGGGCTGCGAGTAGGTAGCAACTGCAGCGGACCCACACCAAGGAGGGAACAAGGCTGCACCTGCTGATGACAGCCTGACCCGCGCCCAGACACACCGCAGTCTACGACGGTGGGCTACCACGGTAGCCCAGGGCTAGCAGAGAGACCCGACCCACGGTTGGTCCCTTGCGCCGTCACGGCCGTCACTTTCCCGTAACTGCCGTCCCCTCTCTTGTCCGCGTCTGAAATATGGTGGGAAGTTCTTGTACGACATACGGAGACTGTGTTGCGTCGCTTTCCGGTCGTCATTGTAATGAACGTGCAGACGCTCGCTGTTTTTCTCGTGTCATCGACCAGGGCTCTCGTACCGTGAGCTCGCGGTCTGAGCTTAGGGTTCGCGTCGACACGAGAGGGAAGTGTCGGGAATTTTGGTTTGAATCTCTCGTCGAAGCTGGTCTCGGTGGGTGGAGTGGTGTGCTATCACATCGCGAGGGAGGTGTGTCTGGAATTGGGTTGAAGGATGGATCGGGATTGGGGTAGTAAGCCCGGCAGTGGAGGAGCTGCCACCGCTCAAAATGAAGCCATCGATCGTCGAGAGCGGTTGCGTAGGCTTGCGCTCGAGACCATCGACCTGGCTAAGGACCCATACTTTATGCGAAATCATCTTGGCAGGTGGGTTGAGAATTGTCTACTTGTACTCCCATGACCAAAACACTCTGATGCGATTTGTTCGTTGCGTTCACAAAATATAATTGGTAAACTGTTTGGAGCTTGGGGGTTAGGAATTTTATGTAAACTCTGCGTACATTTAACGTCCTAATTGCAAGAAACGTAGATTTTTCTCTCTTCAAGGAAGTCGCCTGAGGGGAATCGCCTGGTCCTGAAGGTGCTGGTTATCGCTCATTGGTTAATTCGACTGGACGAAAGTGATTGGTGCTAAACTGTTCTCATGAGTAAGAGCTGCCCATAGCTTTTTTAGCTAGATTTTGGTATGTTAGTAAGTTTGTACTTTCAGTGCAGTCTCATTTACTGATCAAGTTTTGTGAATGTGTATTGCAGCTATGAATGCAAATTGTGTCTCACTCTTCACAACAATGAAGGGAATTATCTTGCTCACACTCAAGGAAAGCGCCATCAGACCAATTTGGCGAAGAGAGCAGCCAGGGAGGCTAAGGATGCCCCTGCCCAACCACAGCCCAATAAACGAAAAGTTAACCCTCGCAAGACAGGTAAACTTGAAATACTTCATTCTATTAGATATATTTTTACTTGACCTGCAAGTGGTGGCTTGTGGTCAAATGCCCACGTTTTGTTATATTTGCTGAGAGAGCTGTCTACAATCACGTGGGTATGCCTTCATGCCTGATCAAAAATTGTTGCGGCAGTATGAAATGGGGGTATTTTATTAGCTGAATCAGATTTGACGCTTGTCATATGTTTTGTCAGTGAAAATTGGGAGACCTGGATATCGAGTGACAAAGCAGTATGAATCCGAAGCTCATCAACGTTCCTTGCTCTTCCAGGTATGTTTTCCATTCAATATATCTATTGTAATCCTTCAAAAGGAATTCACAAGCTTGCTCGAAGAGGAAAATCAGTGTTACAGATATTCATGTAGAAGTAACTTCTCAAACTCTACTGTATCTCTTCAAATATCAGCTTGCTAATTTTCCTGTGAACTTTCAGATTGAGTACCCTGAGATCGAAGATGGAGCAAAGCCACGACATCGGTTTATGTCTTCGTACGAGCAGGTACTGCAAAACCTATGTTGTTTGAACCGAATTTTAGCTGGTTTCATTCTCTTAGAAACAACACGAAATTCATCAACAAATGCAAGGCTTCTGGTTTCTGACGGGAGGAAACGAATGCCCTTTCGAACATCGTTTTCATCGATCTTCAGGGAAAGGCGTAAAGTTTGAAGTATGAGTCCGAAGGCTTGGGTTGAGCGAGGAGAGAAGCTAGGATCTAAGCTTTTACTCAAGCGGATCTATTACTTCATTGCAAGTAGCATAGCCTCTTTCGTGAAAGGCCTTGTCAATGCATCCTGGATTGCAATTGTCTTCTCCTTACGCATTTTTTGTATTTCAGAGGGTGCAAGCCTGGGATAAACGATACCAGTATCTACTATTTGCGGCGGAACCATATGAAATTATCGCGTTTAAGGTTCCTAAACTGCCCACGGTTATCTCTTTCAAAGTTCTCAAATTGTAATGTCAGGTGGTAGTTATTAATCGTGAAAACACCGTGCACAGTAGGTTTTAGTTGCTGTTCTTGAACCTGATTCAGAGCTTTGATGGATATTGCCTGGCGGAAAATTAGTGATAGAATAAGTGTTGTCTTTTGTCCTTTGGTAGATTCCAAGTACAGAAATTGACAAGGTGCCCAACAAGTTCTTCACACATTGGGATCCTGACTCAAAGATGTTCACGGTATGCCATTCTCCACCTGCTGCTTTTTTCATGAGTAGAAACTCTGTAGGGATTTGCGTCGGGTGTGTTCTTCACCTATTATACTCATGATGTACCTGTGTTTTCGCTCGGGGCTTAAAATTTTTGACCACATTAGTCTTCCAAATGTTGCTTTGTCGAGGTTTATCTTAGTCTCCATTTCATTAGAGCTTGTGGAATACAGTCTTGGTCCTTAACCAAACAGCATTGTTATTGGTTAACTTCATGCTTATTATCGTGTGTTTTGTTAGTAAGTTTGTTACTTACTTTTTTACATGGGTTGTGTCTTTTCTTTTGCCGCCCTCCTTGTCCCATCTACTACTTCCGAAGTGTGTTACTCCTACCATTGCTCTGCCGGGTCACATTCACAGTTGTATTCGTTGTACGACAGACAAAAAATAACGAGAACTGTGTTCATGTAACTGACTGTCTCTCTTCCGTGCTGTGGCAGCTGCAACTGCATTTCAAACCTCGATCGCAAGAACCGGGCAAAGGAGGCCCTCCGCCTCCATCCGGTGGACCTCCTCCACCGTCAGGAGCGCCTCCACCCCGACCTGCACCACCTCAAGGCGGTGCCATGCCTGGTCCACCTCCTCCCGGTCCTCCACCAGGTGGTGTGGGAGGATTAAATCGTGGACCACCGATGAACGGCCCCCCTTCAATGGGATCTTTACCCCCTCCACCCCCTTCTATGAATGGACCCCCAAGGTCTATTCCACCATCGATGGGAGGAGGCTTTCCACCACCACCACCACCTCAGATGAGTGGCGGCCCTATAGGTATGGGAGGTCCTCGTAATTTTCAATCCGGTCCACCAGTTGGTCCTCCTAATTCAGTCAATATGGGTCCTCGGCCGCCGCAAGGATTTTCTGGCCCCCCTCAGCCTCCAGGTATGAGACCACCTCCACCACCAAACATGGGCCAACCGATGATGCATAGACCCCCACCTCCTCCACCACCACAATAGTTACAAATGTTCTCTAACGCTAGTCTTCATGCCGCCCTTTGCGCGCTCAAATTCTTTCTACGGCCATACTGGACCTTCTTTTCACGAGTGATACGGATTGGTGGTTAAACACACTGTGGGTGACTACACAATGGCTGGATATGAAAGCTGCTCTGGCTTATGCTCATTTTTGGAATGACGCCGAATTGCCCAATTCTTGGACGAAGTTGTAATCAACAGCGCTAGTTCAGGTGAAATTCTGTGGCGGACTACAAAACGTCCGCCTTGATCCGAGAGCTAAGAAGTTGGCAGTCAATATAACGTGTTTTCGGTTTGGGTCTAATTCAGCATGTTGTGACTTAGCTTTTGTCGTGGGTGCTTGATAATAGTCTTCTGACTGCGGCACGAGAAAACGCTAGTCATTTGATGTTGCTGAAAATGATCAGCTTTGTGGCCGAAGATATTTACAGAGCGTAGGACAATTTTCCTTGTGGGAGTCCGAGTCTTTTGAAGAGAAAAAAAGATCTCTCGAGAAGTCGGAATGTACATTAGTACAACGAAATGCACCGGACTGCCCCCTTGGTAGGTTTGATTTTCACGGGTTGCTGACACCTTGTATACTACCGGATTGGTTCCGAGAATGTCAGATAAATCATCTCGGTTCCACGTTTGTAATGCTGGAAGAATTACGTTGGCTATGTTTCATTCACATATTTGATGTTTAACTATGAGCTCAGAATCGTCAACTTGCTTTTGTGAGCACTTCTGTCGGTCGGATGATATGGATTTGTCTTTTTTGCTTTCACTTTGGCGATTTGTAGCCTATGTAGATGCCCCCTGGAGAACTTGATGTCCTTCTACGTAATGTATTTACTTCGGACCCGATTTCTCCCCGATATCCTCGCTCATATGTACATTTTGGTCACCTCCCATCTATACATCTGATCATGGTCTTAACGATGTTTCGTCTATTTGTAGCTTTTTCGGAGGTTTAAGTCAACAAAGCCTTTGCACAGACCAAACAAAGCAGAGCTCCTCCTGAATCGCAAATCCTGCCCAAATTACCCGAAGAAGATTTAACACTTTCCTTGTCACCCTCGCAAAGACGAAATCTCAGATTGTAGTAGGGAGCGATCTTACTAACTGTTTGTTGTGAGTTTTACGGAGTATGGTTTAACCAAGGAGAAGATGAGGTAAGATTACGATTGTAGATGTAAATCCATGAAAATAACCTCCATACAAAGCAATGACCAGTGCAATCTTTTATAATTCCTAACCTCTGTAACCACCAAGCACTTTCTCTTGGAATTATTGTGAAGACCCACCCGTGAAAAGTTCTAATACTTAATTTTTCGAAATGTTTCCACTTCCTACAACCAGTACTCAGTTTCAAACAAATTTTCGGGACCATTCCAGCCTCTGCCTCTCACCGTGATTATGATTTATGACGTCATCGTGATATTGCGAAGTCTAGAATCTACACAAAATAGAGTTATTTACTTGATGGGATCCCAACCTTGTTGAGATATTGTGACGTCTAGCATCTATACTGAATGGAGTTATTTATTTGATGGGATCCAACCGGAACGTAGATTGCTGCATGAACACATCAAGTTTCGTTTTAGCTGATGTCATACCGTATTAACCTACGTCACAAGAACAACTTGTAGAAGTTGTTCTTGTGCGCTAAAGCTTGCATCATATGCGAGCTTTAGTGGATCTATGCGATCGCCAAACGATGAATTGGGACAAACATTGTCACAAGTGCACAGGGGTTTTGTGTTTTGAATTGTCGGAAATTCGACTATGTGAGCACCAGCCGTGTGGAATTTGTGGAGTCTCTCTGAATTGACTCCACAAGGAGAGAAACGGAGGATTTGATAGTTTAACAAATTGTAGTGCCATGGGAAAGTCTCGGAAGAATTCGGGTCCCATCGCATTGAATGGAGATTTGAAAGCTTCAATGATGGAGGACGAATGCAATTCTAGCTATCACAGTTCCACTCCCTGCCAGAAGAATGGGGTTGTAGTGTGCAATGTAACTTCACCATCTGTTCATACTAGAACATTCGTGCGAAGTGTACATTAGATGGCGTCCTATGGGGTAAAACGAAACTCAAAGGGTCCAGAAAACAGTTTAGGTTTCAATGGGATCCCATCAAGTAACTATTAAATAGAAATGAGTGATCGGAATTTATTATATTTCGAAATCATTAATTTATCTATCAGTATTGTTGTTTGCATTTAATCAGGAAATTATACATTTATGCTAATCACTTAAGGTTAAAGTATTCCTCAACTTTCTTTTTGGATATAATTAGGTGCATTGTGTCATGAGAACAAATGTCAATTATTTGATTTTAGTAATCTAATATCGAAAATCCATAACTTTATGTATCGTTCTATATCTAAATTTTGGTGTGTATCTAGGGTTCGTCTTTTACTAAATTCAAAAACGAGATTCATAATAAGAATTTTACATATACTAATTTAAAAAATCTGCTTTGTGAAAAATATTTTACTATATAGTGAATTGTAATCAAAATGAAGAATATTTTTTGAAAATATTTATTTGTGTTTGAGGCATTTGTTTTATTTTTATAATAAATAGCTGAATGGCTAAGAACCAACCTAGAGCTTGTAAAACTCGGAGGACTGTAACCTTGCCAAGTATATGAGGCTCAGAGAATAATATCCGTCTTTTCTCTGGGTTGTGATTCGAACATTGATTACTACGCGGTTCTAGTAAACCAGATCTCAAAACAAAGTGGTTGGGGTGTTCAGGTTAGATAAATCCACATGTTGACATGAACATATGTCAATACTCGGTCCTAGTTTACCAGATCTCAAAAGAAAGTGGTTTGGATGGGTAGGTTATATAAATCCACATGTTGACATGAACATACGTCAAGGACAGAATCATATATCCAGAATAGCTTTATGTAGGCGACTGTATTCCAAGACGAGTAAACTACCTAAACTAGATTACGTCGGGCACGCCTACTTAACCAACCCTTCACTTAAGCAACATGTGTAATTTAGAATGCCTTCTTTACTCTCCAATCTAAATAACAGTAAAGTAGCGGGGCACGCCTACTTAAGCTACCCTTCACTTACGCAACATGTGTAATTTACAATGTCTTCTTTCCTCTCCAATCTAAATAACAGTAACGTAGCTGGAGACACGTTCATTTTCTATCAAAACCTGGAGCATATTAGACCAAGCATATGAGATGCCACCAAAACGTTTCTCTAAACTACCTATTGCGCTAGCGTATATGAATCGAGTGGATATTGAACTCCATTGCAGTGTAACAGGGGATGTGATGAATTGAGTGGTTGATTATAGAGAGGAGTGGGAGGTGTTCTATCGTTTTTAAGCCTGCAAATGACTTCCCTTTGAGTATGAAGCATGTTGATGAAGTTATTCTGAAAAAGAGCAGGTGACTCCTTGATTGTAACTAAATTTACACATTAAGAACCTAAAGAGAACCGAAACTTCTCCTCGAGGATTATTGCGAAGATTCAAGGACATTTTTTAGGTGCACCCTGAGCTGGTGGATCTAGACAAATAAGGGTGCTGGATTTTATAGAGATAACCTGAAGGGTTCAGTCATATATAAAGTTTCTTCGGATGGCAAATTAGAGTTTCTTCGTAGTGGTTGATTGCTGATAATTACAGAAATAAAATTGGGCTACTATCCGTTCTGGAGAACAGTACAGTAATATTGAACAGGAGGGTAATTTCACGGAATGATTTCAAAACAAGGTGATTGACAACCTGAATAAAGGCCTGGTATGGATTGAACGAAAATTCTGTTACCCATGAACTGCACATGGCTCCATTTTACACTCTCTAAATGCTTAATAAAGCTCGCATTTACACACCTCCTAAACTAAGTTATTCTGGTGCGACTAAATTAACCTAATTTAGGTGCCCGACTAGACTAATCATGCCGGCATATATCTCCTCCGGGTGAAAGGTTCGATTCTTGTCTGATCATTTAAAGGACAAGTTTCCTAGCGGGATGAGTCAGACGTCGTCTCAACATTTTCACCAACATGTGTCTTTGAGGTGAGTATCTAAGAATATGCACGGGTATGTATTCTAAGTTTTGCAATATTCGGATTAGAGAAAAATGAAACTTGGAATCATTAATGAAGGCCAAGACTGCTTGAAGTCTTCATCCAACGCCGTGAGCCTATTTCTCTTCAGTGTACTCGTAATCTCACTACTAATTGTTTATCTGATAAGTCCTATATCTTAACATAATAATATTTTCAGTGAGTTTACGTGCCTTTAGACATACTTTACATCATTCAAGGGAGAGATATGTCAGTTCGATTTTTGGGATGTGACGTAAACATGAAACACCAACAGAAGAGCCTATTTACGACTGAGCAGAAACGAGCAGGGATCATAACAAACACGACGGCCTAGGTTCTGAACGAAAAAGCTTTAAAGTTGTTTCAAACCACTTCCAAAACCTCGTGATCGAGACATACTCCGGCTTTCAAAATATCATGAGAAAACATAGTTAAAAAGAGCATCCAACTGTCATGCATAATTTTGAAAGTAGCGAATGCATTTTGACTGTGAGGTTATTACTTGGGCCAGCCTTTACAAAATTTTACAGTACTTATTTTCTGACATAAGCTAGAGAGACTGCGCGAGACTTCAATCCGATTCTTCTCCATGTAGACTAAAACCTGTACCTCATTGAGTTGAAGTCTCACCATCGACGTCATATGACAAGTTCAGTGGGTTAGACTTTTGCGTTGTAGTTTTTGCTTTTCCCTGTCTTCAAGGTAAACTCACGATCAAAGCAGGACGAGAAGATCGAGTCTCAACAAGATACCCTACGTGTTTGCAATGATTGAAATTTACTCCTTCATGCCTTTGGAGTTTAGCAGTTTCCATGCTGTACAATCCATACAGGAAAAGAGGGTGCGGGAATGACTTTCCACATAAGGAGCGAAACCTTGGATAAAAAGACAAAAATAGAATGTATGTCTGCCACTACAGGACAGACTACCATATAATCGTCCTGAATAGTCCCGTAGGCAGAAGCTATAGAGGTACACACTGTCTACCTCTATATCTCCTACTGTGTACTAAACAGTAAGAGAATTCAGCTTCAGACTCCATTCCTAATTTATCTTTTCAATCAGATATGGAATGAACCATTCATGACCTGAAGCTACTTGACTGGACATGAATACAGGTCTTGTAGTTGTGGATTTTATTTTTTATTGGTTCCGAGAAGCTTATGCGGGTTTTGGTGAGTCTCAAGAGAACAAAGTTCTTAGTGAAGCAAAGTAAGTATCTCCATCAAGAACTCGTTTGGTGGGATATTTTTGAAGTAAGTAAAAAACGGAACTTTGTACATTTTTCAGTAGCCTTGTTTCCATGTTGAGTTTATATTAGTTAGCGTGAAGATGTGTAATTGGAGATAAGATCTTCAAATTTTTCATCTCCCTTCAGTGGAACGTATCAACTTGAGTATGAATCTAAAAACACAAATAGAGCCATCGTGAATTGGCTAGAACTAATAAATCAAGAACTGATGCTCCAAGATAAACATCTTTCAATTGGAATTGCAGATAACATTAGCTCTTGTATTCATAATTAGGACTTCAGAGTATATATGGATAAAATGAGGTGCAGGGAAGAAGCAGATCCAAAACAGAAGAGACAAAAGCAATATATAATGTGAAAGGTCACCATACTAAATGGAAATTATGTGTTATGGATAATTTACAAAGTTGTGGCTAAAAACAAGAATGAAAATTTAGAAATACTTCTCATTTTGTTTGTTTACTTTGACACCCCATGCTTCATTTACCGTAATGGCCAGGATACGAGCATCTGATTGAAAGTGCAAATCTGATTCAAATATTGCTTTTTGGTCGGTTGAATTTAGAAAAAAATGTCAACTGAAGTCCCTTACATGACAGGACTGTAGTGTCCAAAATGTTCAGGTGGCTCTGCTACCATATATATATATATATATAATCACCTCTACTGAATTCTAAGGTGGGCTTTGTTTGTCCGCGAGAAGCCAGTGCAAAGTAGTGGAGCTGTTAGATTCGGAGATCAGCCTTAGCAGTTCAGCTCTAATAGCTCCAACGGAACAGCTCAAAGCCTAGCATGGCTACCTGAGTTGGAAAAGTATTCCTGACCAGTATAGCTTGTTTCCTTGCTGCTGGTTCGTACCAGTACTATGCCACATTCCCAAGTGTGTGGATTTGCTAGTTGGACGCCTATTGTTAGTAGCCTCGCTCTTTTCGTGGCACTTGTGATTTAGTGTGATCGATGTTCAGGCCCTGGGCTGCCATTTGGCTCATACTGAGTTTTTGTCACTTTGCAATCATGATTCACTTCTGCTTTTCCTAATCTCCCCTTCTTTCTCAGCACAAGGCTTTACTGATCATTCACTCGACCACTGAAAGTTCGAAATCTATGGTAAGTGAATTCGGCAGCCGAGTACAAACCATTCTCCATGGCTGTCAGCTCCTTCAGTTGCAGATATCACTGATTGTGGACTTCAGTATGGAAGATGTGCTTTTTCTGTACATTATGAATAGACATGCTATGCTTTCTATACTTCATCTCACACTTGACATATTTGCTTCTAGATAGGCTTTGTACTCAAGGATGTATATTGTTAGATGATACTGCGATCGTTCGATAAAAATGTATCACGTAATCTCATATATAATGCGTGTAACGTTACCAGCCACCGCCATTCAAATTTTATCTCAGAATGGCTCCCGTAGCTGGGATTGCCAGTCTCCATGTTGCGGCGTTTTTCATCATGATCGTTCTTTCGAAGGCATTCGTGATTTCAGGTCATCCTGGTAAGAAATTGATTCATTTACAGTCGTTCTTTTGCTTTTGACTGATCGTTGTTCATTTGATCTGATCCAACTGGCTTCGTGCATTTTCATCTTAAGGGCAGTTGCAAGGCTTTGCTTTAAATCCACATAGAGCTGATAGCCATCTTGGTGAGCAGGTTTTGGACATAAAGAAGACAATGCTCATGTCACGCTGCCCTCTCAAAGTCAATCTGAGCCTATTGATATAAAGTTGAACACGTCCCCATCATTTAATTACAAGCAATCTGAGAAGGTACGTACCGATTCAAATCTGATGGACATTTCTCCATGTACAAGTGTTTTGCATCCATACCCCAAGGAACTTCGATGATTTCAAGTATGACTACGATTTGCAGGAACTGAAGGATTAAGGAGTCTGATTACTCAAGATCTGCTCAAACCTAGTAGACCATGCACTCAAATCTGATCAGAAGAGACACTAAGGCAGAATACTTCATTAATTAGCGTGTATATGTCTTATTTTCATGATCAGGAGTATGTGAAGCTTGGGAGAGGACGTCGTGCGTTTAGTCCTGCACGAAGGTTTTTGGAAGCTGAAGGTTTCACCTTCAGGCCAGGTTCAACTCCACCAAATTGTGAGGGTAAATGCCAGGGTTGTACTCCTTGTGATTTACAGCCCATTGTGATACCGCACATGGTCAGCGTTTCGTCAGTTGACTACAAGTATGAACACTGGGCATGTGTTTGCAAGAAGGTGACGTACCTTGCCAGCACTCGGACATGATGGTAAAGAGTGAACGTTCACGCTTATCAGAAAAGGAGCAATGGCAGGTTTGAAAAGCACCCGTCTATTCAAAACCTCGCAGCCCAGATTAGACTTTGAACTAGGTCCCAATGGAGACACAGGCGTAGAGTTCACGAGGACTTATGAGCACCATTGGCAACCACTAACTTGAAGTTCAGCTCGGAGTTGACACCTCCACCGAAAGTCTGGACTGAGAATTTTAGTCGTCTGTGGCGCCGTGCGGCTGCAACCATTGTTTAGGAGTCCGTAGCAAGTTCTAAGAAGGCGGACTTTTGTATCTGAAGACTTTGAGGCAGTGACTTGTATCGATGATCATCATTCATGATCATCCATACCGGTCACTAAGGACTCACAAGTCAATGTCCTTACTCTTGCACATACTGCCCCCAAATCGAGAAATCCTCTCCGTGTACTCTGTTTGCAAATGCAACGAACTCAGATTACTTGTAGCTTGTCAGTAGCTACTGCCTTCTTGGCCACAGCGCCGTTGATGTACCAGTCCTAAAATTTTCTTGTCTTTCATCTGGCCGATGTCAAAGCGCAGAGAAATTTCTAAAACTTTGTACTTTTGCTCCTTCTGGTCAGGGGTCAGGATACAGGTTCTGTGATCTGTCAACTTGTCAAAAGTCAACTCAGTCTAGGAAAATGAGATAAGCAGTTTTGGCAAACGTGGGTACGATTTCAGTAAGAGGACTTTTGAATTTCGCTGTAATGTACAAGAAGGACCTCATGGCGTTTTTTACACGGTCAAGTAAGAGTGGAAGCTTGAAGAACAATTTCAAAGTATGGTTGGGCTGACTTATAGATGTGCAAACGACTTGTCAATGACTTTCTCGTGTACCTCGACGTCACAAGTGGTGAAGGTCTGTCTTGGAGGGAGGGATACCAAGTTCAACGGTGATCCATTGTAGCTTTCCAAAGCTTGATCTCCAGAAAGAGAGGCACTAGAACTCACATTTGATGAAGCTAATTGTAAATGTATTCCACCTTACGAATTCAACACAGCAAAAGAATATAGCTGCGTCCCATTACTTTTCATGAGGCGTATACTAAAGAAACGGCTCGACTCGAAGAGTTTATAAGGGCTTTTCCTTTTTGAGCTGTCCTCTAGCCGCGTTGCCTTACTATGCATTACACAGAGCCTCCCGAAAGAAGCGATACCGGTTTACAAAGTTCCGCCCGATGTACCGTTAGTCTCAACAGGAAGCCCCTCAAAATACGCCGATGGAAATGTTAACGCACGGTGATATCAAAATCGGAGATACGGCGGGGTTCCTGCTCGGGATACCAACCATTCCAATATAAAACCAACGATATTTCATCCAAATGACCTTTTGCTTACGCCTTGGATTGCCTTTTACGAGGTCGGCGCGATTTGACCCAGCGATCATAGCATGCAAAGCGTCGCACTTTCAGTTCGTGGCAATCAGCCGTCTTAGTGCATAATTATTCAATTAGGAACCCCAATTCTCGTCATTTCCATGAGCATAGCTCCTCGAACTGCTGGATGACTAGAAAAGTTCTTTTTACGTAAGAACCTGCAGATGGAATTGTTTCATTCTTCTTTTGCTGCAATTTTCACCATCTACACCCGGGCACCATAATTACTGCCAGGAGAGAAATGCGCGAGGACTTTGTAGCATTGTTAACGTCTCACGACCTTCATGCCACGACCATCGGCTCTTCGCAATCGCTGACATTTTATTTTGATTTTTCGTCAGTCTGCTTGGGCCGATCAGCCGTCATACTTGATTCAATTCCATTGCGGGAATGCCGCCTCAAGTCAGTCACCTCTTTACCTTCGTGGTGCTTCCCCTACCCACATCTCGTTTTGTGCCATTACAGGACCTCAGTCATGAAACCTATTACCTCGCTTTTCTACTCGGGGTGATCTTTTTCTGATTAATGAGAATCGGGTAAACAAAGTTGTTGTGAGACATAGCTAAATAGCTTGATGGATAAAACGTGACATGACACTAAGTGACTGCACTGATACATAACGACTAAATTAAACCTAGAATTAACCTACTCAATTCACACCTAATTTTAATTACTAATTACAAGTGAGATATAACTCCATTATCTTTGGAGAATATCAAATACACAAATACAAGGAGCTATCCAAAGCTTGAGTTATCCACACAAATACATTTGTCTAGGAGCTACGCTATACACTTGTATTGATGAAAAAATAGATTGCAATTTGCAGCCGGCGGAAGTCAACACCAAGAACTGAGAGATAGTCCCTAGGTATTTCATACTTTAACGCTGATGTAGTTGATCTTTGCACGCACTCCAAAAAACAACTACAACGCATGCACTACAACTTCATAGTAATAGAAGGTCTTCAACATTATAAAGTAACAAAGTGATGATTCTAACTTTTCTAGAAAATAATGGTTGGGATCAGGATTGCTTCGAGCCCATCCAATTGATCAAAGCGAATAGTCAATCTCCTCGTATCATTTCGTCTTATAATGTTTGAGATCATAGATTGATTTGTTGACGAGGATGTGAAGTGGATATTTTTTAGAAAAAAAAAAAAGTAGCAGTTTGTTTTGGTTTTTTCAGTAGATAGTTTTTTTTTCTCCACGTTCAGAGTAAAAAGTCCCACAAATATGTAGATGTTTTGATATATCCTCGAGTGATAAGTCAAGAGAATTGCCAGCTGATTTTGGGGTTGAGAGCTCAAGCTGAAATTTGTTTAGGAGTCTTTTGTGTGGAGGGCTTTGTTCTGCACATAGGTTGTGTGACAGTATTTTTAAGAAAGTATTTTGGGAATGACATGGCCTTTTACGCGGGAGCTTCGAAACTCCAGAAAATTTGGTGGGGGACAGCAGTGGTTTAGTAGTCGAGGAGAGGGAAAGCTCATTAGGGATGCAGAGTCAAATTGCGATGGTGCATGAGCGAGTTTCGGCAGTGAAAATAAGGAGGATGGACTATGGAGTGGTGTGATTACTACTTATAATCGGCTGTTCATCTTGACCAAGGGCTTGCAAGCCCTGGAGGAGCAGGTGGACTACGAGCTTGGCGGAGTTGGCAGGTTTGAGGTCATCATTGTTGATGATGGCTCCACAGACATGACTGTCAAATTTCTTACAAGTGAGAGAGATGAAGCTCATGAGGGTTGTCAAAATGTGGATAGTCAGGTAGACGAGACGAGAGATGAAGACTCGGGGAGAAACAGAAGAAATTGTAGAGTGCATGGTCAAGAAACAGGGGCATGCAGCAGGCCGTTTGCTCAGCAGAGCAGACGATTTTCTCATGTAAAACTTGTGAGGCAGAAGCATGCAGGTGCCACGACGGCCAGGAATCTCGGACTAAAGCACGCTAGTGGTGCCATTATTGTTTTCATCGACTCGGACCTTGTAGTGACAAGGAGCTTTCTCAGGGCCCATGTACAGGCCCCTCGCGAGGCTTTACTAGAAGACGGAGATGACCGGGCCTTCACCTACGGTCGCGTCGTTAACACTTCAAACTTTGAAAATTCCCAATCTGAGAAAGTCAAGATCATTGATTACTCAGCTGCCTTTTTCGCCACAACTAACGCGGATATTTCTCGTCGACGATTGTGAGAAGCTGCAAAGCTTCTAGGTGCGGATGCTGATGGTCTATTTGATGTGGTTTTCAGAGAGTACGGCAGGAAGAATCTTGAGTTGGGAGATATGAAGGTGGACAATATCATAATCTATTTAGTAATCCGTTTTGCTAGTAATCAACGAGAAGGTTTATGTTGAGATTGTCGTACAATACACACATAAAGCGCAAGTGCTTTAATCACTAAATTCATTATGCTCCCGCAGATAGAAAAGTGTCTGAGATATGCGTAGGTCTGCAACCTCCGGGCTGACTCTCACTCGGGTTTACCTCAGATGGCTTTTCGATAGCTCATCATGATTCTAGAAGACTAGGATTCCGCATCATACTCATAACCTAAACACACTCTCACACAATCTCTCAAGGTATCACTCCAACTCACACACTCATTGACACTCCGAGGTACTGAAAATTCGTCACTCTTTCATATATGAAACAAGTCTCTACATATGAATTCTTCAAACTTGCTTCCAAGGCTCTTCCCTACCTCTCTATATATGCTACTTGAGAATTTACCATAGTAACAAATGGTAATTTCTATCTAACTTACTTTTACAAAGATAAATCATAGTAAGGTTGACTAGTTATCAATATGTGGCAACATGCCATTGGCCTCCTAAACCTTCTAGATGTTTACTAATCCCTAGATTGAGGTGGCAACATGCCATTTGTGCCTTTCCAACTTCTAGATATTCCACTTTCCACTAAGTCAACATTAGACTTAGTCTAACCAATGAAGTACTACTTACTTTAGTCAAACCAATCAAAACTAAATATGAAGTCCAAAAGTCTTTTCTCTTGGAATCTAGACTTTTGCACAAGAAAAATAGAAGTGCTCACTCAAATCTTCTAGAACTTCTCTAGTTATTCCGCCAAGTAGAGACATTATAGCTAAACTAGCTAGACTTAGTCATAACTAGCTAGATTTAGTCATAACTATCCTAACCATGATTAACTCCTTGGCTAATTCTAGTTTTATTTCACACATGCAATATCCGGTCTTACATTTATCCCTGGACCAAGATTTCACTACGCCCTCGGAGTGAAAGAATCTGATCTTCGATGGAATAATTTCAACTTGTCATGGTTGAGTCGATCGAAGTGACGTACTCCTAACTCCTTGATATCATAAGTAAAGTTTCCCCACACCTTCTCAACTATGAAAGGTCCAAAATACTTAGGAAAAAACTTTTTCCTAGCTCTCTTGTATCTAATTGTATCAAAGAGCATCACCCAATCACCTTCCTTGAACAGCTTCAAGTTCTGGTTTTCACTTCGTTTTACGTGATACTTCTTCTGCAACTGTTGAGTCCGCTCCACTCGTACCATGGCTAGTGCTCAAGCTTCCTCCAACTCCATCAATTGTTGTTGGCGAGACTTGATGGCTTCTGCTCCATTTGATTTCTTCAACCTTTGCTGGATTGTCATGAAAGTAGTCAAGTCAAATTGTATTGGGAGCTTTGACTCAACTCCATACACCATCCGAAAAGGTGATTATCCGGTAGATGTTTTCCAAGTCGTTCGATACTCCCACAAGATAGCATGCAACCTCTTGTCCCAGTTTTGCATGCTTCCGTCCATGTCTGCATCATTGGCCAACATCATACAAAGAGTGTAGTTGGTCCGCTCCGCCAACCCATTAGCATTGGGTTTGTACGAAGTGGTCACTCGAGACTTGATAGAAAAATGATCTAACATTGCTTGGATTATACTTCCCACAAACTCTCCTCCTCTATCCGACACTAACTCCAAAGGACAACTAAATCTGGTTCTGATTCTCTCATACAAAAACCTACCAACCTCCTTCTCATTGGTAGATTTTAGTGGCCTTGCCTCTACCCACTTGGTAAGATAATTTGTAGCTATCACAATGAACTTATTTCTCCGAGGAGTAAGATTCAAAGTACCTACAAAATCTATTCCCCATTTTTCAGAAGGACCTAACATTGGAACTGAAATCAAAGGAGGGGTTTTCATGGACTTTTTAGACACACATCACAACTCTTGCAAAATTCCACACAATCTTTGAAAATACACTTCCAATGATATCCAGCATCAAGGATCTTGAAAGTTGTTACCTTCCACGCAAAATGTACTCCACACACTGCACCTTCGCAAAACTCCTTCATGAGTTGCAATGCTTCGCCTCTTCCAACAGCTCATCGTAGCAGACCGTCAGCTCATTGATGAAATAACACCTTCTCAATGATCATATAGGGTTGACATCTTTTTACCAATGCATTCCTTTCTCTTGAATGCATGCCTTGAGGAAATTCTCCTTTGAAGATGAACTCCCAAATCTCCTTGTACTCCTTTGGTACCAATGTCACCGTGTCCATGACCAACAAATCTTCGTCCGGAAAAGTGTCTTCCACAGATTGATCTCCTCCCTCATCATAAGCTCTTGACAAGAAATCCGCATTAGCATGCTTCTTTCCCGGTTGATCCTCTATGGTGACCCACTTTTGGTATTTATGCGGAATTTAAAACATTTTTGGAAAACTGTACCGCAGCAGCAGTGTAAATAACGATCGGTACATTTAAATAGAGTGAAATTGGAGAATCTTGGAGAATCTCGTAGAATCCAGGAGTTGGACGCAATGTCCGGAACAGGCGTCTCCCTGAATTATGAGCTCTAAAGGAGTTCTCCTTCGGCGGTACGCCTTCGGCGCTAGAGGAATCCCTCAAAATCTATACAATTTCCAAACGCCCTGACTTGATTAGGGTCTCGTTGGAAAGAGCTTGACGCGCTGGTTCTAACGAGCCCAAGAACGCTTGGAACAGATCAGGAATCAGGGAGTTGTGACGGTCGAAAGATACAAAGATTTTTGCCTACGCATAGGCGAGGGAAGTTCGCCTACGCATACGCGAAATGAGTTTGACGTCGGCGGGAAGTCCACCGAGAGTGCCGCCTACGCATAGGCGGGAGGACTTGCACCTACGCATAAGCGGACGGATTTTGCCTACGCATAGGCACTTCGTCTCGGCGGGAAATCCGCCTTCGGCCCTAGAAATCCGCCTTCGGGGTTGGAACTTGTACGGCGCCTACGGCGCCAGCGCATCACGGTTAGGTGAGGACCCAACGGAGTAGCAAATCCGTACGGACCGTACGGATTGTACGGACGAGTGCGCCTTCAGCCGGTCGGGATTATGAAGACGATCGCCGACGAGAGGCAGATCGCACGAAGGAAGAGATGACGAGGCGAGTCACCCACTGTTTCAAGGGCTACGCCCACTGGGAAGTGGCGGCGCAGGAGAGACTCACACTATGTGAGTTAGAGCTTCGTGCAGCCGGGTTGTTGACGAGTGACAGTCGGAGTCAGCGGCGAGTAGCGAAGAAACTGGATTCTTTTCTTTCGAAGGCGCGAGACACCATGGCCACCCGTGAGACGGAGGTTTCCGCGGTGTTGCGGCGGTTGGGACTGCGCTGTCGAGCTGAGGACTGGCAGGGTAGGGAATTAGTGCGCGGCAGTCCGTCGCGCAGGAGGCAAAGCACAGGTTCCGCGGAGTGTAGTGTAGCGTGGTTCCGTGCCGGCATGTAGCGTAGTGCAGTGTAGTGCTAGTTAGGACTTAGAAGGTATAAAGTAGTTCAAGGCGTTTTGCCTTGGGATCTTTCCCAATTTCAGAAGTGCAGATCAGGAACTCATTTTCTCTGCGTGTTTGTGTCCTTAATTCTGTCACCACGAAAGAGGAGCTACACCTTAGCGATCCGCATCGTGTAGCTGAAGGCTTTCGGCCGAAATGTTCAGAGCTAGTACATTGGTTAGAGACTTGACTAGTTCGGATCTACACCTGCGGGTGATTGCCGATGCTCAGAGCCAGTGACGAGTTAGATACTTGAACAGTTTCCCCCTTACACCTTTGAGTGGTTGTTTCTGATTGTACTCCTTCGGGATTTTTCCCCTGAATGCCAAAGTGAAGTTTTGCTACTTCGTGTAAGCCTTGGTTGTAAATTCAGGTTACGCTGCAGCAGGTGCCTTCAGGGTAACCCCTGTAGTATTTCTGGTAATAACAAGTGCCTAAGAATTCAAACTCTTCAATAGACTGTTATGGTGTGTTACTGGAACGTTTCTCAGTGAGTCCTTCTGTGAGCCTAAACTCCCCACCCTTCAGCGTTTGTAGTCCAGGTGGGGGTTCGAGCTCCCATAATCTAACTTCTCTGATCTCAACCATGTGGTCAAAGTGTATTCAAGACAATGAGATCATAACACTTGCTCTTTCACAGACAATTTATCCAGAATTGAAAATAATAACTTGTTGTCTGCTATCTCCACAAGAGCAGCAGACAAGCTCTTTGTTACATAAAGATCTAACCCAACTCTGGGTAACTTTCTCAATACCACAGCCGCTGTGGTCTATCCTAGCTCCGAGTTCCACTACCAATTCCTACTCAGATTCCACTCTCCCTTTTCAGTTTCAAATTCAGATCCCGACTGTCAGATTTCGGTCTCAGATTTCGCTTCACTCTCAGCTCCCACTCACAGATTACACTTCAATCTCAGATCCCATTCTCAGGTCTTCCACTCACAGATGTCACTTCAATTTCGGATCCCACTCACAGATTACACTTCAATCTCAGCTCCCACTCATAGATTACACTTCAATCTCAGCTCCCACTCACAGATTACACTTCAATCTCAGATCCCGATCTAATTTCACACTCAGAAACAACTCTCCACCCACGAGAGTTTGCTTCCTCTTCCTTCGAACTCTCCACACTCTATCCTCCTACCGATCCCACCAGCGTCTCCACACAATGGCACACCACACAATCCCAGCACGCGCACACTGGTACACTGGTACACTCCAGCTCTCCGCCCCAAGGCCGAACTCTCCACCAGGTCTCAGCTTCCAGGCCGAACACACCACAGCCTGCCTGAATGCCCCACCCGCAATGATGGGTCACACCTACTTCCCATGCGCGACTTTATGCCCCGCCGTCTCTGCCACACCAACTTGACTTCACGCCGCCGCCACT